CAGAGTAACGTTGGAGATGGTTCAATGTCACTGTGGATTGATAACAGCAAGAACAGGTTCTGACTTAAAGCTTTTGTGACTGCAGGAATTAATATTCTTGGTTCTTTCGGTAAAGTCACGTAAATAGAAAAAAAAAATCAATTGAAAATACTAAAAGCAAAAAAACCTACGATAAAAATAATAAAATAAAATAAAAATTAGGAAATAATTAAAGCAAAAAACCCACGACATTTCGATCGCAACACAAAGCAGTCTTCTCTCTGCTTGATGAAGACCGCTTGTGTTGCGATCGAAACGTCGTGGGTTTTTTGCTTTTATTATTTCCAATTTTTATTTCATTTTAAATGTACATTTTATTTTACTATTTTTATCGTTGGTTTTTGCTTTTATTATTTTCAATTTATAATTTAATTTTTATTATTTAAAATTTAACATAATTTTTTTTTTTACGTGACTTTACCGAAAGAACCAAGAACATAGCTAGAACAGGTAAGACGGTTAAAGGGTCCAGGAATAATTTTGACAGATGACAGACGCTTGAGAAAACTGTTTCTGATAAGATGGACAAGCAGGGAATTCATAAACAGAATCGTAAACACATTTACGTAATAATATGCATTTATAGTGGAGGAATCCATTGAGCTACAAAGCTTTTTTCACATTTCCAGCAGATCAGAATATCAGCAGCCGTCCGTCCGTACTAGACCCCAACGGCTCCAAGTGGGCCATGCGGCACACTTCAACTGGGACCGCTCGACTTGCCTTCCTCGGGGAGCCACAACATTTTTTCCGTACCACCCTCAGACAGTCATGAAGTCACAGGGTCAACGCAGAAACATGGTAACACGGCCATTGGAGCCTCTTGTACTGACGATCAACTTCAGAGCTGTGTTTGGGAGGGCACGGGGGAGTTGGGGGTGGGAAGCCACGGTGGAAAATGTTGTACTTGTAAAAAAATAAACTAACTTTGGGATAGTACAGCGTAGACTAATGCGGACTGGCTCAGCATGGGATTGGTATAAAGTCTAATTGCCGTGGAAACGTCGCCTTACACGGGTGGTTGTGCCATTTAATTGGGATGCATGTGGTACAGCACTCCAGGTATTTGGTAGAATTCGGATTTAAAAATAGTACTTCTCATCACGTTGTGCCCTACACTGTTCATAAAAAAGCGCACTGGAAATGTGGGCAGCGTCTTTTAATTTATTTCCACTGAGAACGGCAACTATCTGGCCAACTTGTATTATTATTTTCTTTTCGGCAGTTAATTTATAACGAACAGTAAAACTACTGTAGTTTGGTAACTTTTACAACCTTTCTCATTCGTTAAAGACTCTTTGTTAGCCGCATGTGCACTTGCGTTCATAAACATGTCACGGTTCTTCATGCCTGGCCTTTAATTTAAAGGGCTTTCTAAATATATGTTTGAGAATAATTGTGCAAGCCTGCCTATTGCCAAATGTAATGGCTAATATAAGTGTTTGCTGTGAAATGGACTCGTTTTGATTCCAGTAAGTTGTGCAGCAGCATATTCAAGTCCGTTTGGAATCAAACTACAGTTGGCTATTTGAAATAACCAAGGCAGCGCTGCAGATTAGTGGAAGTGATATATTTAGAAGCAGGGGACTATTTTATTTTTACTGCCCAGTAGTACAGTTCTGTGTTGCCGAGACTGCTCAATGCCTGTGGGGATCATTGAGTTCGTTTCATGAGAGACGAGGTCTAAGATGTCCAAGTGGCTGTCGTTATATAAACGACATTGAATATTTAAACGTCTGACTTGCCACTGGAAGTGTGTACCCGTTTGTGATTTGGTGCCTTATGTTGAAGCCTCTTCCTGTCGTTAACAGATCCGAATATAGCTCCGTTGCTGAACCTATGTGGAAGTGAGTGTCATGTGTGTATACCAGCGACGCTATCATTTCCCGCGACAGTACATTCGTTGTTGAAAGCAGAGGCGAACGGGACTCTTCTTGTGCTAATTCGGTCGGCATGTTTCATCGTTCCAGTTGAGTCGACGGCAACCTGTGGAGATGTAGTCGAGTCATCGCCGGGAGATTTCACGTAGCCCACTCTCTTGGTCCAGTCGACTAAAACAGTCAAGCGTTTAGTCAGACACGCTTTTGTTATTAAAATGTATCAATCAGGTCAGCCAATTATTGAACGCGGTAAATCTTTTCATATCCACGTACATCCATTTGGCATTTGTGTTCTTCCCAAGTGCACTGCCGTTCCAAATTCTCGGTGAACTTGGTCCACTCGCAGTCATCGTTGACCAACAGGCAAATAAAAACAATTCAACATCTTCTTGGTTCTTTCGGTAAAGTCACGTCGAAGGGAAGTAATAAAATAATAAAAATAAAACATAATAAAATAATTCTCACGACGTTTCGGCCACAACGCAAGCAGCCGTCCTCGGGTGAAGAACAGGGCTGTCGGAAAGACAGCGTCTGAATGGCGCTGTCTTTCCCATTCAGACCTGAGGACGGCTGCTTGCGTTGTGGCCGAAACGTCGTGAGAATTTTATTATATTTTATTATTTTATTACTTCCCTTCTACGTGACTTTACCGAAAGAACCAAGAAGATGAATCCCTGCAGTCACGAAAGCTTTAAATCGAAATCAAATCAACATCGACAAATATTTTCGTCACCACCTCCTCCCGTCGTCGTCGTCGGGTACGTGCGAGCGAGGCCGCTGTGGCCGATGCGCCACCGCCGCCACCAGGGGGCGACTCCGCCTGACGCGACGTTCTGACGGCATCGCAGCGCGTTCGGCTGTCACGCCGCACAACCAACACGGGTTGTGCGGCGCACTTCCTAGACACGTGCACAGGATCTTCTTGGTTCTTTCGGTAAAGTCACGTAGAATGGAAATAATAAAATAATAAAAATAAAACATAATAAAATCATTCTTACGACGTTTCGGTCACAACGCAAGCAGCCGTCCTCAGGTGAAGAACAGGTCTGTCAGAAAGACAGACGGCTGGTGACCAATCATGATAATTATACGGCTGTGAATTGAAGCTTTGGGATTAAATAAATGAAGGGCTCTATAATGTTATTTCTCAGGGGGGTTAGGAGGGGGGGGCTGTCCCCACATGGTTGCGTCCCCCACTGTCGACGCAACATCGACTGCCACCCCCACCCAGAATCACGCTCTTGTTACCTGTACCATTTTATTGAAAATAAAGTTAACAAACATTTAGCTTTTCCCCAAAGTTGTTCAAGTTGATCGGCTTTCACCGCATATTTAAGCAACATCTTTATCGCGATAGTTTGCTGTTTTGTTCAACTTTACGCTGATTATAAGGTTGTTGCATAGGTTAATGATTTATTTTACGGCAATTTTGTTTTACAAATTACAGAACGTATTCCTTAGATTTCAGTGCTGTAAAATGTCCAGCGGCGTTGGTGCAGATTACCGGTTCCCTGGCAGAATGTGAGGTCTGCACAATCGACTCACACTGTAAACTAGCAAAAGTATTATTACATCGCAATTAACCAATTAATATACATATCATTGTTATGTTGTTTCACAGATCAAGCAATGTCTTCTTACACTGTTGGCAACTTTCCAAAAGATAACTTTTTTTATTTTGCTGTGCATTTGCTTAGTGTATTAGAAACTCATAACAAGGAAGCACATGACTTCAGCTGATTGCGTGGTGGTGCAAGAGATCTTTCGGAAATAATGGGATTGTGAAAAAAATTCAAGGCTTCAATACCAATATTTAAATTATTTTATTTGTTCACAAACATGTAAGTGGACTGTATGTCGGAGTGTTTGCCCTATATGATGTCACCACCACCACCACCATCCTCGCTGAGACGTTGTTTATATAACACACAGTGGCTGTAGAGGGCCATCTGAAAATAAAACGATTGTTTATGTTACGAGTTCTCAAGAAAAGTAAATCTTTATTTGGTTTTCATTTCCTCATCTCATTCCCCAAAATGTGCACCTTTTGATTCTCCCTAAATACCACCACCACTCCTCTCCCAATCATGACCTCATCCTTGTTTTTGGTGCAATATGCCCGGTTAGTTTGTTCACATTGTAATGTTTTGTCCTTTAAGCACTCTTCGTCTGAACGTCTACCGCGTTCTGTTACGTTGTTGCCTGTTCCCCTGTATGGATCACTCCGATGTCACGGTCCGTGTTCCCGCGCTGACAGCACCACGGATGTCCCTTGCGAACTGGCTGGGTGGCTGGCGACACTGTGATTTTCTACGTAACAAATAAAAATTGATTGAATGAGCAATCAAACTTGATTTCTATAGCACTATTCGTGCAAAAAAATGCAATACGTAGTGCTTTACAGGCATGAACAATAAAAGTAAAATTGTAGGCAAAATAAAATCACGTAACAAATTTCTAGAAAAGATATAATAAACATAACACATTCAGAAAATCCTAATTAAAAGCAAGTGACCGACTACTGCACACCACAGCCTCTGAAAACAACTAGCGAGCTTTATAATGTTTTACTGATGACGAGGGCAACGCTGGGGTCTGGCCAGTGTCGTGCGGTCACAACGCGTGGCGTGGTGGGGCGTCACAGAGCGATGGGGCGCCACGGCGTGGTGGGGCGCCTCGGAGTAGTGGGGCGCCACAGTGGTGGGGCACCTCGGAGCGGTGGGGTGCCACAGTGGTGGGGCGCCACAGTGGTGGGGCGCCACAGTGGTGGGGCGCCACAGTGGTGGGGCGCCACAGCGGTGGGGCACCTCGGAGCGGTGGGGCGCCGGAGCGGTGGGGCGCCGGAGCGGTGGGGCGCCACAGTGGTGGGGCGCCACAGTGGTGGGGCGCCACAGTGGTGGGGCGCCTCGGAGCGGTGGGGCACCTCGGAGCGGTGGGGCGCCACAGTGGTGGGGCGCCACAGTGGTGGGGCGCCACAGTGGTGGGGCGCCACAGTGGTGGGGCGCCACAGTGGTGGGGCACCTCGGAGCGGTGGGGCGCCTCGGAGCGGGCCAGGCCACTGAGCGGCTCCCTCTGTCGCAGGCGGCGGAGCACCGCGTGGCTGTGGGCGCGGGAGCGCGCGATGGTGGCGAGCCGTTGGACGTGGCTCACGGCGCAGGTGTCCGACCTGGAGTACCGCATCCGGCAGCACAACGAGCTCTACCGCCAGATCCGCATCGGCAAGGTAAGTGCGTGTGTGCGTGTGTGTGTGCGTGTGTGCGTGTGTGTGTGTGCGTGTGTCGGAGGTGTGTGTGTCGGAGACGTGCCGCATGGCGCCCATCAAATTTGCAAAATTTGATCAGTTACGGGTCCCTTAATTGGAAAAGAATAACCGCGGCAACGTCTGTCCCCTACCGGCAGACTAATGCCCCTTGATATGCTGGTGCTGCGTAGGGACAGCTGCCACTTGGGGGGGGGTCCCTTTGCATTACTGTAGCAGGGCTTTGGAATGATTAATATCAAATATTTATCCTGGAGGAATCCAATGAGCTCTATAGCTCTTTTTCACAGACGTCCAGTAGGAGCATGGTGTCGGAACGCGACAATGAGACGGCATTCACACCCGAGATGAGACGCCATGTAAGGCGCCGAGAGTTGCCGAGGCTTTTATGCCAGCGCCCTACGAATGCAAACGCCTGCCACACCACCGACGGCCTTTTGCGCATGGTGGCCGCCCCCTTAACGCTCTCTCCAGCCTCAACGCCGCGCGGCTTCCGACATCCGACGAGATTGGGCGCATTCCGGGCGATTTGGTCGCGGGCGCCTTCCTTCGTAACGCGGAGGCGCGCCGCGCACGGTGCCACCGCTGTGTTCTGAACGGACGTGCGTCGGGTGACCCGCAGCGACGGGCCGGTGGCTTCGTCGAGCCAGGGCGGCCGCTTGGCGCTCAGCGCACGCTTTCCTTGCAGGGCCCCGTGGTGCTCGGAGACCTCCAGGCCCCCGAGGACGTGACGAGACCGCACCGGAGGCTGCCCGGTACCGGCGCCGCCCCCGCTTTGCCGCTCGCCGGTGAAACGGGGGGCGGTCGCGTGGAGATGTCCGCCTGCAGCCCCGCTCTGCTGCTTAGCAACCTCCACAAGCAGGTAGTCACCTGTGGGCTTGTTAGCGTGCGCCCTGGAAACAGACCCTCTGGAGGAATATGTACAGCAAACATGCACTCAGACCCCATATGGTGAGAGTGGTGGCGGTGTTGTAGCCCAGTTTGGGTGGCAGGCTGCTCACGCTGTGGTAACACTCGTGCCTCGCAGCAAGAAGCGCCTGGGTTTGATTGCTGACTCGGGTGCCTTTTCGCGTGGAGTTTCTGTGTCCGTCCCCTGTGTTGCATGGGTTTTCTCTGCATGCTTTGGTTTCCCCCTATGGCCAAAACAAACCAAAATTACTGGTGTATCGGTCAAGCATCCCAGTGCTGAAAAAAAATACCTGCAAATGACTCCAAGGTGATTGGACATGGCACCGTGCCCCCTGCAGAAAACTTGGCAGGACCCTCCTGCAATAGAATGTTGAGACTCTCGGCGGTGTTCTCGTGGGCAAGCGAGTGCAAGGCATTCTGGTTTGCGGGGAGTTGGTGTTCCAGCCTGTGTTGCATTCCCTTGGGAAACATGTTTCCTCTCGCCCTCAACATTTATTTAAAATATATTTGCCTTAGAATTCCAGGCAATTCTCACTTTAATCGTAATCTGCTGAAGCCTCAACGATGCTTTCTCAGGTAATGACAAAAAAAAGATGAATAACTTGATGAATATTCGTTGGAAAAATATTAATAAAAAACGAAAAGCCACTAATGTAGACTGTAGCCTGGTTCTTAAACGGAGTGAGTGTACTGGCAATCTATAATGTAGACTAGCAATGGTTATTAAGCTGGGTGAGTGTACTGGCAGTCTATAATGTAGACTGTAGTCTGGTTTTTAAGTTGGTGAGCATATTGGCAGTCTACATTAGTGTTTTTTGTTTAAAAAATATTTTTATAATTTTTCTAACTCCGTGACTTTACCGAAAAAAACAAAGAATATGAATTCCTGCAGTCACGAATGTTTAAAGTAAAACTGTAACTTGGTAAATAAATAATTAATTGCTTGCTGGCCCTTAATTAGCACGTGATTGTTCTAAGCATCTAAATAAAGCAACTATTTAGTATTATGTACATATGCTCTATCATTTCAGTATTGCCTTTCATGGGTTGACTGTATTCCTATTTGTTATGATGTTTCTGTAAAAATTTGCACATCAGGCCACTGGTGCATTTAAGCGGGATGGTTACACCTTAACATATACAGCGTTTTATTAATTTACAACCTTTTAGTACGTAAAATGTGTAACTTATTGAAATGTGTTTCATGAGTGAATCATAGTCTGTGATCTGTAGGAGTAATACTGCTGCATCAAAGGCGTTTGGGATGCATCAGCGAAGTTGCACATCTGCTCATTTCATCTCCTCGGCTTATTACGTAGCAGATGGCACCGCATTTTTGTCACACACAAGCTCGGCTGTGGTCTTTGCAGAGCAGATTACAGAAAGCCTAAATATGAACATGGCTCATTGTTGCTAACGCGTGGCACTGCTGTGCGTTTGATGGATGGTACAGGGAAGAATGGACTTATGGGACCAACTACATTTGCATCACTATAAATGTGTCGACGAAAGGCTTCCCACTCGTTGGAATGTATCTCTGTCTCCGTCGACACCAATGATGCTTGCCCTTAGGGCATTTGCTGCTCGCTCCGCAGGGTCCTGTGTGGTCCCTATGGGCCGATGCGCTCCAGGCAGGGCTTCCCGCGCTCCACCCCGCAGTCAGTCGAATGTGGCGTGCTTCTCTTCCGTCGCCCATTGTTTTTTGTCAATCTCTCTGTGGAGCTGTAGTTGCGTGGCTCTGTGGATTAGTTTTTTACGAGCTGGTAAAAGCCATGTTTCGCAACGGTGCATGTCACACTGGCCCCACCTGCATGGCACAGTCACCGCACGTGTGTGGGTGTGGGGAGCGGTAGTGAGTGGTTAGTGCACTGCACTACTAATACAGCGACCCACTCCTGACCAAATAAGAGTGGTGAATATCTGAACCGGTACCTTGCTTCCCTTAGGTGGTCTCAGTCTAAAATCAGTACCTGGTGCAGTGTGTGTAAACATCAGCACTGGGGAGACAAAGGTGGCCGGGCTGCTCGCTAACAACACTTACCCCAACAGTCTGTTTAAGGCTATACGGGGACCTTTGTCTCTTTGTTCAAGTGACAAAGTAATTTTTCTTCTGACTTGTGCTCCAATGCTGTGTGTTGACAGAGCTCACGCCTTAAGCAAAGTCTGGGCGGCATGGCCTGTCCTCTCAGCCCAGCCTCGTCTCCACAACCCAAACCTTCTCCACCGCAGCTCAACGGTGTTCTGGCCGGGTACGCCTCCCACTGCTGTCTGCAGCCGCACGCACGCGCGTGCACACACACGTACGAGGCGCATGGTGCGCGGTGTCGCGGCGTCTCTAGGCCACGCAATACTGGGACGTGAAACTACAGAGGCAGTTTGTGCAAGAAGACACGCGCGCAAGGTGACGTGTGCTGAAGATCCAATGTCTTCGTACAGTTTTTTTATTGGCAGGCTCATGTAAACGACATATCCGTCCGTTGATTACTTTATCAAATCTCCCCTGAGTTTTTGTACGTACTGTATGTTGAACTTCTTTTGCACCGTACGTAGCCAACCATGCTAATCAGAGGTGCGGGGGAAGGACAACAAACTAAGTACGACAAACTTGGCAAAAAAATAGTTTTTCCAAGCACGCACTTTATTTGTACTCAAAAGCAGAAAACTAATATTTTGACTCCAGAATTAAACATTTGATGTGCGGAATGACAGTGGGTGGTTTCTTTTCAATATGTTTAACTTTCTTTATGCAACAGACAAGTTCAATAAAAGTGTGTAAAAACATAAGGACTAGCCTGGCATTGTTGTAGCTCAGGTGTTGTAGAGACGCCGCATGGAAGGGTCTGTCGTCCCGTGCTCTGCTCGTACGGGGGGCTCCTGGCATTTCCACGTCACCTCGGCCGCTCTGCACACGGTTTTTATGGAGGGATGCTGAACACGTCGGGAGGCCCTGAGGATGCCCACTGCTAAACACAGCTCCAGCGGTTGAACGAGGGTGACCGAGTTGATGTGCTTAAACGTTCGGGGCAGTCGTCAAATAGAACCTTTGAATATCTGGCCAGCACGCGTGTTCACACGTTTGGGTAAACTGGTGAGGATGGTGAGCAGAGGAAGCAGACATCTCTGGACACAATTTGGCTCTGATTTTGTTCGTCCAATAAGTACCGTGTAGAAATAAGAATGGATTTAGCCACGAGCGGGTGGAATTAATGTGAGAGTAGACTGATAAACAGAATGAGTGGGTGACGTTACATGGGCGTTGCATATCGTTTTCAATCAAAACGTGAAGCCGTCATGGCGCTTCTTACCTGAAGATGCCTGTTGCAGTGATTACGCAGGAGGTTAAATCTGCTCGTTTGTGATTTGAATGCAAACCGCTAACATCTGCACTCTTGCGCTGGCCTGTGGACCTGCGCGTGTGCGTCTGTATGCGTCTGTATGCGTGTGTGTGTGCGTCTGTGTGCGTGTGTGTGCGTGTAGCTCGTCGAGCTGCACTCGAGGAGGAGATGCTCCGCCTGACGGCTTCGACGCCGCCAAGCGCCGCCCCGCCGCGGTGTCCCGTGGGGCCCCCGCGCCACCGTCCCCGCCCGGCAGCTCCTCGTGCGTGGCGGCACGGACGCGGCCCCTGCGGGAACTGCGCCGTCGGCGAGTGCTGCGAGCCAGCGACGCGTACTTCCTGAGCCGCAAGGTTTGTGGTGCAGATGCAGAGGAGGCGGGGGTGGGATGCGCGTTCCCAAACATCGCTGAAACAAAACCCTACGCGGTTATTAACTAGCTTGTGGAGTTTGTGGAGGAAAGTTGGAAACAGGTGGTGGTGGTGGTAAAGCCTTAGTGGGGAGCGGTAGAGTAGCGGTTAGCGCGCTACACTACGAATCCGGTGACCTAAGTTCCATTCCCGCTCACGGCTAAAACCAGTAACGATTATCTGAACCGGGCCTGAGCCTCTCCTAGATCGACTCAGCCTCAAATGACTACCTGGTGCTGTGTGTAAACATCGCCACTAAGTAGACAAAGGCCGCCGGGCGTGGTGCTGGCCACCCACCCCCTCGTGTGCCGTTCCGGCCTTCACAGGTGCTCTCTTAACAGCACTTGCCCCAACAGCCTGTTAAGGCTATATGGGGGATCTTTGTATTTGTAGCTGGATGCAGGGCTGGTGCGGATGTGATGATCTGCTGCGAGTTGTGTGAGCGGAACTGTGCCACTTCAAAAAGCGAGCCGTATTGCCGTGGTCAGCTTTGGTTGCCGTGTGGTTGGACGATCGTAAACGTTTTCTGTGTGTCGGGACGTGCCTGCATCTCTTGTAGCTTGTGGTCTTGCAAATACAGGCCCCTCTGAGGCTAAGCAGGTTCATTTATAATTCGTAGATAAAAGTGCGACTGGCAAATGTGTGTCTGGAAAAAAAAACCATCGTGAGCAAACCTAACCAAAGCTCCTAAAACAATGGGGTGATAATCAGATTTTTCTATTCTATTTCAAATGGTATTGTCTGGGGTCAGGTCGGATGAACATAGAATCAAAATCACCTGGTTTGTTAGTTGTGCAATATTCACAGATTTTTGTCGTCGTCGTTGTTGTTGTTGTGCTCACGGCACCACGGAGCTCCTGCGTAAAATAGCCCGGAAACGAGTTGACCGGGATCATCCATGTAGCAGAATAAAATAAACTGAAACTCAGAATGACACAATCAAGATTGTCACATCCTAATCAGCTGATCAGACTATGGCTGACCATAGCTGATCAGCTGCTTGGCTTACAAGTATTCTTTGTAGTGGTGTTAAAAAGTTAATCCATAATGCACTAAAAAGGATCGATATTGCGATGCTAAGTACCTTAAAAAAAGAGCCAATTGCATGTCCAGTGTTATTATCGTGAAGTGGGTTACAATTGCAGAGAACGGATGTTCGATTCCCAGCGGGTGTGCTAATTTTAATTTGTTAACAAAAACAATCCTTATTTTTTTAAATTAATACCTGTTTAAATGTGTTTATTATTCGGTTTAATTACTTAAAAGCTAAAAAGAACAAGGGGCATCTGAGAGTGGAATTGGCCATCTGTTGTTAGTTTAAGGCATTATATTCACATTCATTTTATTAATAAATATTGCGAAAGCAGTTTATTTATCATCATTAACTGTCTTACCTAAATATTAGTAAGAAAAAATCCTTTTTAGTGTCGCCGTACTGTAGTGTTGGGATGTTGCTGTCATGTGACCAGGTGCAAGGAGATGAAGATGTGGCCGGACTACACCAGCATATGCATGAAGTCCAATCCGACCTGACCCATGCACCCCTAGCAATGTTCCGTAACCAAACAACTTTCTCATCTGAAGTAAGGGCAGATTAATGCTGATATTTGACAAAGTATGCAGCATCCATTTGAAGCACTGATTACTTCGAGTTCGCATGCTCTCTGTGGGTTCATCACATCGAGAGGCAGTCGGCACATTTATCTTGCCACCATCGTGTTAAGCCAAAGTTCATGTCGATAAGCAACTTCGAATTCTAATTTCTGAATCATCGTGCATCAGTGTACCCCTTGCGGCAGCACCTACGCCGATTCTTCAGTTGGCACGTGCATCTTGGGTCTCACGTCTTGGTTGAGCAATGATGAGTGCCCGGTGGCACAGTGCACCCAACTCACAAGCAGATGGTTGGTAGTTCACATCCAAGTCAGAGAGTTGGAGTGGGGCGGGCGGGCGGGGCGGCCAACTAAACCTATCAACCCTCGGGCTGATAAAATGAGCACGACTTTGGAAGGCAGAAGTGGTTGTTCTATGGAGGGACTGGAAGCTGCCATGTGTGTTCTTTACACCCCTCACTCAGGGCTACCAACATCCATGAGCAGATGTCTACACTCGATTGAGTAAGGAGATGGCAACTCGCTTGAAAGCTGTACATGTAATACACACACACACGTAGCGCGTCCCAGTTGACTCGTCACACATTGCTGTGCTGCTGTTGTGCCATGCCACGGGTGTGCAGGCGCAGCGGCCGGTGACTGTGAGGTGCAGCTGTGAGCAGCCACTCAGCTGCATGGTGTGCGTGTCACCGTACACCACGCAGCAGCAGCAGCAGCAGCCCATGAACCTGGACACCATGACCCTGCCTGAGAGGGCAGCAGTGCTCAGCCCATCCACCCACCCTGTGCTCTCTCTCCCCAACGGTGCGTCGCTCCGTCTTGCCCAAGCGTCCGCGCCGTGCGGGGTTGCATTAGAGGTTGCGCAGCAGTAGGAGCCACGGGGTCAATAGGTCAGCGGGCTTGGTGCTCTGGGTCCATTGGTGATGTACAGGGTGTGCACAATGTCACTCGCCCAACTCGGATCCGTTTCACAAGGAAATCCTTTGACGCTTGAGATGTGATCCGGTGTGTCTCTCTAATGTTCTAATGTGCGTACAGAATTTGGCCAAGCATCTTGCGTGTGCAATAGTTTGCTTACATTCCAGCCTTTCTTCACCTGTTGCCCTTCTTGCTGTGTATTTTCATCACTCAATCAAATTTTGCTTCACTTGCGTCATCTTTCGTGGAGCGTCGTGTGATTTGAAATGGAGAGGAAGCAGAAGTCACTCCCAAGCATTTCGATTAACCAAATGGCACTTTTGCTGGATTATGAAAAGTAAGATATGTTCTTTTTGCATTCCATACTGAATTATTCTTTTTCTAAAACAAAGATCATTAATCAAATATTGAAAGTAGTTTTGTACATTACACACTTACGAACCTCCACTGTCATTTGCACGCGTGTTTGTTCCTCGTTACGTTTAGTTTCTCTTCGTGGTCACCCCAGGTCTCCCTCGAAGACTGCTCCTCATCTCAGTGTGATCTTGTCTGGCTGTTGTAAATAGAGGCCACTATCCAGAACCATCATTTCAGGGTACTTTCCATTGATAAAGAACACAATTCACTCCCTTGAGTGATGTTTTCAGCTTTTCGGATGTTAGAGTGCAACAATACATCATTTCTCGGACTGCAATTCGTCTGCAGTTGTTGTCATACTGCAAATTGACAATTTTTTACTCCGACCTTGGAATTGATTTGGTCCTTTACGGTTCCCGCTCACGTCAATAAAATCCGGGCAGTGTGGCCTCCCTGCTTCATCGGTTGGTTTGATCCTTGCAATGCGCTGGGCAAATGTTACGTATCTGGCCGGCATGTTTCACTTGCTAAGCACCGTTGTACATTAAATAGACAAAGTAATATGTCATGGTTTTATAAACGAGATTTCGTGACGCGGTTAGAAAGAGAGAGTTAGGCCACGTGTGTGCCGACGCCATCGGCCAAATGTGCCAACTCGCTAAGAAGCAACCTGCAAATCACTCAATTGGGAGAACAGCGCAATCATCGCCTCGTCACTCCTGCCTCTGAAAATAGCACCTTCGTGATGGCCCTGCGATCTCTAAGAGTTACACCAACACCCCGAGTACTAATGGTTGATGATTATAATGGATCCACTGTGATATAGTAGAACTCGATGGCAATTGTCGCCAATAATATCAAAATGCGTTCCTTCAATCCGCGATGGTGCTTGTTCTCCACCCTTCTGCCTGGTGTCTGCACCCTAACTCCATCTCTTCTGATGTGGTAAAGAACACGTTTTCTGACCATGAAAGCAGACCACAGCTTCTTTATTGTCCCTTGCAACAGATGCTTTGCCACTGCCATTCGCTATATGAATTACCGCCGTTGTAATTTTCGCCTTTGATTTCCTGTAACAAAAAATAACAACTCATTTACATTATTAAGCTGCTTTCAAGAATTGTTATTTCATCCGCATTTACTCACTTGTCAAACGTGCCTCCCCTCATTTATTATCCATTGCAGTAGTAACAACATTTATACTTGCTCTGCCATGCTGGAGAAAAGGCTGGGCAGGGCAATGATTCTTATACAAGGACTCCGACAGTGGTGCACACGGAGAGTTAAAAACAACTGGCCACATGCATTATTAATGCTGCCTTGTAACAGAGAGCACAGCAATCTGACGTTTTGGCCACTAGCCTTCTGCTTTGAAAACTAGTCCTTCTGCTCTGAAGGGTGCCCATTGCCGGAAATGTCAGCCATTCATGTACGTTTCTGTTTCAGGCACTGTTCTTTACAAATGTCGTGATTTGTGTGCAGGCTTGGACAACTTTAAGTTATGTTTTACAGATAGAGTACATGCAAAATATTTACTAGGTTATTTCTCATTTCACTTGAAGCAAAGGTTCCATTATTACAAACATTTTACAATTATTTACTGGATTGTGAAGGTTTGCTTTGGCGTGTCTTGGGTTTTGCGCAAGCTTGGATGGTCTTTCATGAGAAAACAGAAAATATAGTTTTGGTTTTGTGACATTCAAGGGCACCGTCACGACGCGATTCTGAATCGCACTGCCCCGATGTGCGTAGTTGGGGAAGCTTTGAAGCGGACACGACCAACGAGCTCTCCGTCACATTCACGCGCTTCTCTCATCCACATCAAATGCACGAGGGGGTTTATGCAACGCGGATCCAGGCCCGAAGTACATGCGCACCCCTGTTCACAAAGGGGACCCGTAACTTCATCTGTCGTGGAACACGTACACCGTGGGAACTCCATAGCTGTGCACGTAACCTAACGGCGAGGACGGCTTGAAATCAGTGGTGGCTGCTTAATGTCGACCAGCTGTATACTGGGATATTAGCGGTCGACTATCACAGGAGATTGCAGCTGCCGCATTGCTCTGGATTGGTACTGTTTTGATTTACGTGGGACGTATCTGTGAGGGGCTTCGGTAGGGCGCGGCCGCTCTGGTTATTACTGCAGGTGTAACATCCGTTATAATACTACACGCCGTCTGCTTCACAGATCTGATGTACGTGGTGGAAGCTGATTGTTTTGTTTGAAAAAAAAGTTTACTCTGGCAGATATTAAAACCCGCTGTGTAATTTTACTTTCTAAAATCTGTCTTTTCCCCCCAATGATATACCGATTGTGCTACCCCACCACGTGTTCAAAAACAGACTGGGATATGCAGAATTCTTCTAAAATCTTACAAGGCAATGTTTGAATGTTGAAATGGGCATTGAGTCGGTGTACATCTTATGTTAAAAACCGTCAGTTAGTGGTGGAAATTCCACATTCCTATAGCAGGGGGGGTAAGTAGTTTAATATGATAATAATTGTTTAAAAGGGTTGCTCGCTTTTTTTTTATCAAACTGCTGTATATGTGCCCCAGAGGGATGATGGGCTGAGTGAACCCCCAACGAGGATTTAAGAGTTTGCAACATTTCGATTGTCCGCCTGTCGCTCCACCCGCTAAGCCGCTTGGCCAAAATCTCTTCATTTGACCTTCACAGTGGGAGGCAGCGCCGCCACCACCCTGCTCCAGAGACACGTGTTTGTCACGTGGCAGTCAAATAGATATTTTAGTTTCTCACAAGTTGGAATTTAGACAAATCAGGCCTTCCACGAAATCTATTTTACGTGCTGTTATTGGTGATGGGGCTGAGCGCAACCAACTCACAACCCTCTCGAACCCAGCTTGAGGTGGCTGCCTGGATCTGAACCCAGAATTGCGTTGATTCAGCGGTGCAGCTCCGATCTCCTAGCCACGGAACACCTCTCCGCCTGCTCTGTATTTTTCTTTTATAAACAAACAAGTTCTGTAAGAAGTTAAAACACCCAACTTAAACCTTTTGCAAGGGATCATGTCCGCATTAACCACAGATACTTGTGGTGAAAATACAAACAAAAAACATGCTCTGACAGTATATGCATTGTCTTTGAAACTGATTGGTCCACACCAGAGACAGCTTTTTTTAGTGCCTAGTCTCAAACGGTGTTAGAACAGGGGACGCCAAAAGGCGAAAAGCACAAAGACAATGCACTATCAGGACAATGAGAGCTCGGGGTGAGCAGCTACATCATGGGACCTCCTTTGCCAGTACCAAAATATAAGGAGGTGCCATGATGAAACAAGTTCTGTTTTATCCCCAAAAATATGAAATAATAATCTCAGGGCAATCAGCCAGTCGGCCTTCAAGAGCAATGTTTTTACAATTGCATGCTGTTTGAACACACTGCCAATACAGCGCTTCATATTGTGATGATGGTGGTGAAATTTATGTTTTTTTGCTTGTGCACGACATCCAAGACAATTCCTGGTTCTTTTTCATTTAATTCAACCCTTGACATTTATTATTTTATGTTCTGTTCTACTTGGCGGAAGTGCAAATAATTGACCGAAGGCAACTTCTCCTTTGCAGATATCCCTCTACACCTGCACTTCCAGAGTCTGATGAAGCGCGCCGAGTGGCACGAGCGGATGAACCCCAAACCCAAAGTTCCAGCCAGCAGCAGCAGCAACAACAACAAGAGGCCAACCGGCGTTCCACGAGCGTGGACAGCCTCGCCAGGCAGCCCTGCCGAGCGCAAGCAGCGCCACAAGCCTGACGCCTCCCTGCTGACCACCAGTGAGCTGGGGGGGCGGGCAAAGTGTTGGGTCGTTATCGCTCGGCACGATAGGTGTCGTTGCAAATTCGCCTGATAAAGCTGGTTGCAATCGCCAGCAAAATGTCACAGTACTCCAATTGTAAATGTTGTGGGTTTACTCTGAAATGCATCGGTGTGCTGAAGTAATAACTGTCACGTTTTGTTTACGTGACAAACTAACCAATTGGCTGCGTCGGATAGTGGTGGGTTAATGACACGCATTTTTACTCACGCGATCTAACCAAAAAAACCCCTTTATTATGGACACGACAGTGGCGAGACTACAACCGCGGTCCCCTGCTCAGCTCCTCGCCAGTCCCGCCGTGTTTGACAGCAGGGTGTCCGCACGTGCGTACACTCTTGTCGCGTGGCTCCATGTACATTTTCGGCACTTGCTGAACTTGTGTCGCGCCATGGTCGTTGCAGCTGCAGCAGTTCGCCCGTGGAGATGGGTGTTGCCCACGGTCTCGTAGTGTTCAGTGTCTTACTCAAAAGTCGTAGAGCCAGTCTGATAGACAAGCCACAGGGAATGTCTTGACAGCCACCACGGGAGAATTGTCTTGGTATGAGAAGCACAACAAGTGCTTTGTCTCGCATGCGTGACGTTTCCTGGCCGTGGGCGTCAAGGTCACAATCTCCTGGCTTGACAGGGTTTGGCAGTACAGCAAGTGGGTTAATTTTCACCTGTACAGGGATTGTGTTATCCCCCTCTCTTGTTCTGTGGGGTTTCTCCAGGCACTTTCTTTCCTCCTTCACGTATACACACACATTTTCTGTAGTTGTCTTAATGTCCCAATACAGGGCCACAGAGTTTGCACTGCTTGGCACCAAGTCTGGCTGCCTTCCTGCTTATCTTGTTGTCAAATACAACCTTGTTTGGCGATGCATTTTGCACGATTTACACCATATGAAATAAAATTATTCAGTAAACGTGTTGACTTAATGATAAAGAGTTATGTTTACCAAGGTTGCTCTTTCCCACGTTGCAGAGTGCGACTGGAGTAAGGCATGCGTGGATCCGTCGCTGTGGCAATACCTGGACAGTGTGGAGCGAGGGCCTTCACCGCTGGACTCCTTGGATACAGATGGGGAGGACGGTGGCCACTTCAAGAAAAGGAGGCGCTCTGGGCACAGCCCCCTCGGTGGGCATTGCATCTCTATCCATTTAAATCCGCTGCTAGTCTGCCTCTCCACGTGATAAACTACACATCACCAGTGTGGTCACCCAGGGGAAATCTTCTATTGACACCGCGGTGCCTTTATGTCGGCGTGCCTCTGAAATAACGGGGATCGGTGACTGCCGCGTAGGTGTCTGCGGTTGCGCTGCGTGGCCCTCCGTCGTAGTACTGAGGCAGCGTTACGTAACCGTGGGGGGAACGCGAGCTGCTCAGGTCCTGTAGAAGCTCCCAGCGCGCCAAGTGAAGTGTCGAACATCGTGCCCAACGACGCTGGGTACAACCAGAACGTGCGAGAGCGGTAGGAATATACTCGGTCCAAAACCCCATTTTGTTCAGTACAATTACAGGGCGACGGCTGAACATTCTCGACCAGAATTTATGTTCAATGCAAAACATTGAATGTCGCAATCCTGGTTCAAACCCTGATCGTATAACGCTCTCCTCTTTGCAGAAAGCTGCAATGCAGCAAACACTGTACATTGTTGGCATCACTCGGAGCACAATCTCCCCAGGTGTGCCCACGCTTTCGCACGTCATAAAAACCTTGACTCACCACTGAGGGGGGGGGGTGCGTGGGGATTTGTAGAGCCGTGCCCCACACACGCCGTCGTAAATCTAAACCACCCAAAAAAAGGGCCGAGTACAGAAGCCCCTTTTTATAAGAGGCATGTAGCTGCCCCTAAACCAGCCCGTGCAGCCGATGGTATGTCACTGGCCGCGTAGGTTTTGTGCTTGTGTTCACTGTGGCTTTTTTTTTTGCCATCACACCTGACGCGCTAGGGGATCGATGTGACATTTAAACCCAGTGACTCACAGAGCGGGACCGATGTCAGTACTACGTTTTTTTATGGGAATCAACATCCATAATTGTGTTCCTGTGATCTGCCAACTGGCTCCGTTAGGAACTCAGATAAGAGTGTTGGATGCACAGAACAAGGAGACAAAATATGAACAGATGGAGTTGTCCTTGACGCATCTTTGCATATGGTTAGGGTTACATTGGGAAAAGTTTATTTGATTGTCATCTTATTGCCTTTAGTTGTGGACACATTAAACAATATTGTTCACTCTAACTTTGCTCCAACGTTTCATACACATTTACACATCAGTTATTTAGACTAACAAAAATTGGCTCCTTTTCCTTTATGCATACTTAAGCTCTGTAAGTAAATTATTATTCATCACCATCATCATCATCCCTGGTCGGTCCACTGCTGAATGAAGGCCTCCCCAAGTTACGGCCGTCTCTCACGATCTCCATGCAGCAGTCCACCTATCACGCGGACACACAAGCTGATTTCACCGCTATATCTCCTCGGTGGTGCTACTCTCCGACGTCTTCCATCCTTGGCTGCCGCGGGTGCAGTCATTTTCAAATTATGGCTAAAATAGTGGCTCACTTAAAATGATCGTACCCAATGACAACACATTTCGCAGCTTCATATTACATTTTTAACCGACAATACCCTATGTCGATGATAAATTCGATCATGGAAAGTCCTAAGAAACGATTGATCAATACATTGGCACATGACTAATACCTTTGTAAACGTAAAAAATCTTGTAGGGTGGTGGAGGGTTATTGACAATTATGGCATAAAACTACCACTTGGCCCAAAACTACCACATAGCCTAACCCAACACACAAATATGGATCATATGGATCAGGCAATTACTTTTAAATAATATTAATTCCATCTGAGTCCAGGTCACCAGAATGTCACTGCCTTGTGGGCACAGAGTGGGTAGTAGAGGTGTTGGTGGCAAGCCGGTGAGCGACGCTGCACTTTTGTATAATAAATTTAGCATTAATTTATTTACTTTTATTTAGTGACTTGCTTACCATTTTCTCTATTCTGCACTCTTATCGTATTTTTGTATCGTGTGCCGTTGTAACTCGCTAACCCGCCCCATACTTGGTATCTGTGAAAGAGCTTTACAGCTCATCGGATTCCTCCTGCAGTCTAAATAAACATTTCTATGATTCTGTGTTTTTTTCCGCAGCAGCGGGCAGCAAGAGGCAGCGTGGCGGGGTGCGGAGTCGGAGCCTCACCCTGGGGGAGTCGCCCGAGGGCACGGCGGCAGTGGTGACGGCGCCGCCGCTGCGCCAGGCCTACACGCCGGTGCCGGCCGACGCGTCGCCCGCGCCACCCACGCTGCCCTTGGCCAGCGCGTACGCCCACACGTCCGCCGCCGCCGCTACGCCCACGTCCACGCAGGTAGCGCCCTGGCGTGCACGCCATAAGATGATGCTCCGGAGAGTACATAAACTTTTTTTGGGTTGGATCACCGCCACCCGACAGCCAATTCGTAAGGATTTTTTCACATAAACAAAACCTGCTAATTAGTTACTACTCCAGCACACCGGTGTGTTAGAGAGTAAATCCACAACGTTTAAAATTTAAGTTCGGCCTTGTTGGGCAACACGAATGCAGTGCGCTGTATCGGTATCACTAGTCAATTATATACCCCTCCTGAGCCACTCGGTGCTCATTTCCTTGAGGCTGTTTTAATCATTTGGAGTGTGCCAGCAGTAGAGGGCATAATTACGTGTGGGGCGAAGATGGCCGCGATAGGTTGCGAGGTGATTTTAAAGGGGGAGAATCTGTGGCCCTCTCACCTGGACCACGTCCAGCACGGTGCCGTGGCGCTTGCACAGTGGCACCGTGCCGCCCTGCTCGTGCCAGTGGCCATCGCTCACCAGGCCTCTGGCTCTCGCTCGGCTGCCTTCATCTGGCAGTCTCGGACGTGGTCAACAACGATCCCAAATGTAGCTTTTCTTGACCTTGGGAAAGCTTGTGGCAACACTGTGGCTTTTATAAAAGCACAGTATTGTGCTGTTGATCGTATATAGACGAGTAGGTATGCAACGATTTATCGATTCAAGTCTAGTGCTCATGGCACGCGTGTCAAATTGTGAATCTCATAAAGCATTTACAACCTGTGCAAATTGTATGTTAATACACCGTTATGCTAATACAGGCTACAAAATTATTAGTTGAAGAATTGAATCGTGACCCCCAGATGACAATATATATCCGCCAGGTTTGAACTCTTTGCCTTGTGCACACCGTGAGAATAGTGAGCAAAGTGTGAGGTGGTATTGTATTAGCAATAGCCGCTAAAGAGTTCTCAACATGATTAAACACTTTTTTGATCAGTTTCATTCCCCGATACAAACGTTTGCCCCCTGAGCCATCAGGTCACTTAAATATTAACAATTTTTGGGTTATTTTATAAAACGATTGTTATGCCTGGTTAATTTATTCCAGGAGGTGCAACAGGTTGCCAGTTAGTAACATGAATTGAGATGTTAACATTTGCCGTGTTTCTCAATGTGACTGATATTATGAGACTCTCTCCCTCTGGGAGAAAGTACTCAAAGTTTCACTTTGGCGTGGCCAGGCTTCTGCTCGGCGACGGAGGGTGGAGAACTCCTTCGATATCAACAACATCGTCATCCCACTGTCCATGGCTGCGTTTGCCCACGTGGAGAAGATCCAGTACAAGGAGATTCTCACTCCTGGGTGAGTCTTCCTTCTGTGTCCATCATCAACACCCCTAAATGGTCAGCTTTAAAGTAGGATTTTTCTTTTACATCCTGTGAGCAGAATAATTGATTTCCAGCAAGCGGCCGCTTTCAAAAGTAACGTTATATACAGGCGGTTTCCGGATTCACGACGGTCAGATTTACAACAGTCCACATTTATGACGTTCATGCAATGCCACCAAGAACGATTTATGATGCAGAAAATTGATTTACGAAGCATCTTCTGATATGATTCCGCACGCATTTGAACGGAGTCAGTCTGGTTTCCGATGTGACTTGGCGTGGAGCTTTTGTTATTCTCAGGAGTTTTTTGTGGATTTTTTTTTACCTAATAAAGTCTGTTAAATACGGCCGATGAAAGGAAAAACGCATCGGCAAGTGATGTTTCTCCCGTTTCTACTGTCTATGGGAAAACAGGGTCCGAGGTTTACAGGAACACGTTGTGACGTCGTAAGAGTGCAGACGGCCAGTAATAGCGGTGTCTCCGAATGAAAAGTATTCCTCCTGAAGCGGTCTGTGCGATGGGCTTGTCAGCGCACGAAACGGTGGCACATCTCTCCGTGGCGGAGTGCTTCTGGGAGCGGATTGCGGTCGTTGGTCGTCGATCCCGAGCACCCTGTCGTGTGTTGCAGGTGGCGTGAGCTGGGATTTGAGAATGAGGGGCCAGACATTGAGGAAGTTGAAGAGGTATCACACTTTGAAGCTCTCAAATTATTTCAGCTTTCTTTTTGGCTTTATTAATAATAAATTATTTACTCTGAAGTTTTTCAAGAGGCCAATTTCTGGAGCTAATGCTAATTTCATAAGAATGTTTCTCATTCAAGTCAATTGTGCCGTCATTCCAACCAAAATGCAGTCGAGTGACCATTCCCGTTGCTCTATGAGTTGTACCCAGATTGGTTATGATGTTTGAAAAAATTGATACATTTTGAACATGTCATTGATTTTAGGCAATCACATGTAAAAATCGTAGGTACTTGTGCATTTTATGTAATTTGATCACCCGGCTGTGGTGACAGCAACTATCTATCGGCTGTTGTGGACCTCTTGCCAAGCCATTCCCATTTCAGGTGCTAAGGTTGGAGCAGAGGGCAATTATTTTTGGGGATTATATTTTTTAAATACATTTTTGCTACAATATTCCCTCAAACACTCCGGCCACCCACTCACTCAATATTTAACCCAAATAACCTCTTTTCGATCATTACGATGGTTTCAACTATTTCAACTGAACTTCTTTTATTTATGCGCGCAGCGACGCTCATTTGTAGACATTGCGCAACGCCAGCAACACCTTTCTTGTAGAGAGCCGTCGGGATGGCCGTACAGGAACCGCCGGTCAGCCCGTGCCCGGCTCGGCGTCATGTGCAGAGAGAAACACGCTGCTTCGTGCCGTCACCTGCCAGGTGGAGGACGTTTCGGACGAGTCGTTTGCCGATCGCCACGCCCGGTTTGAGCAGATGGAGAAGACGCGATGGTGCTTCTGGTCGCCCGCCATCCACCGCCGCACTCGGTAGAGACTCGATCGCGAGCGCTGCCATTGTGACCGGCAACTTGTTATCTCTGTTAATAAATACCTGTAAAATTCTTAACTGACAGTCACGTCTGTGCACATCCCATTGGCGCGGTTGGCTACGTACGGTGCAAAGGAAGTTCTTCGTACATTGTGCGTGCATTGCACTTGTATAAACTTATGGGGAAAGTCATCCCAAAGAAGGTTTAAGTAAAAAAAAACAATTAATGCTCACCCTGTCACGTAACCTCACTGCCCCCATCGTGTTTTATCTCCGTACAAATAATACAAGTAAAAAAAAAGTACATTTGTGAATATGTTTAAACCGTCATTGATTTTCTCACCTACTGTACTGGAGTCTGGTCACAATACAATGGTGTGCATTTCATATCCTCATTGACAGCAGTGCATCATGGGGGGCTTTTCAGCCAGTTACCAGAAACCTGGTTGCACGATCGCGTATTAAACTTTGGCCTTGCTGCGAGGGTGACATGCTCTCACCCACGCTGCCACGGCCCGACGCCTTGCCAATGCGTGCCTCTCTGCCGCTCCACACCCACAGATCTTTCAACAAGAGTACGTCGGAGGGGCGCTGCACGCCCCAGCCCCCGTCACCCGATGTGTCCGTGTCGGGAGGCGGCAGCAACCACCACACTGGGCTCAACGCAGAGCAGCACCGCTCCGCCGATCGGAGCCTCCGCGATTCCTTCTGCGAGTCCACGCGCTCCTCCACGCCGGATATGTGCTCCGAAGAAGTCTTCTTGGTACGTGTGTGCAAGCACGAGAGCGTGGCATGCCGGTGACTAGCATATAGCCTGCGGCGTGTGCCTTGCCTGTGTAACAGGTGTATCTTGGTTGGCTTGCCTGGATGAAATCACTGAATTTGCTCTCCCTGATTGAACCTCATTCAGTTAGGTTCATTTGCAGCAAGTGTCCACTGGTTGTCCTGTAGCTGCACCCCACTGGGTAATCCTAGCCAGGGACACGCCCAGCACTTTGCAGTGTTGGACTGCGAAGAGGCGAGGGATGACTATTTGACTCCTGTTCGGCTCTGTCTCGCCAAAAGGACTTTGGACAAAGTCCAGTGACACACGAGCCATCTCATTTTCCATCTAGCGGAGGCCTTTCCGTTACCAGCGGTGCGAGAAAGTCATTTGTCCTCCTTTAGCGACTTTCTTGCCGCTAGTATTAAGGCACATACATTGGTAAGGTAAACAAGCCCAGTACATCGGCACTAATGGACTGGCGTGTCTGCATCTGCTTGCAGGTGGTGCAGCCTTGGGAGAAGAGAGCCTTCCCGTTGCGCGAACAAGAAGAGATCGCCCTGGCGGAGAGCGATTGCAACCACAGAGACGAGCGGCGCTCTGCCTCGCCCGCGCCCACACAGCAGTTCGATCGCCATCCACCACCGCCGCCCACCGGCAACTCCGAGGAGCCCTCCGCTGCAGCGCCACCTCCGTGCGTCACGGAGCGGGATGGCGCAGCGCCACCACCCAGGGAGGAGCGGAGGCCGGCGAAGCGCAGCTTGCGCTCCGCCTCCGCGCGGCAACCGCACGACCCCTCGGAGCCGCTGCACGACGGCAAAGCCAGGGAGCCGAGGAGTCGCAGCGCGGCAGGATCCTTGGGCCCGACTAGTGGCGACGATAATAATTACCACACGCCAAGCGGCCGCACGAGAGCGGGCGATGGGAAGTCACGGAACTCCATTGTGCTGAGGGCGGGGAGACGAACAAACTCGCACTGACGCCGGCCTCGCTTGTGCTTGCGTCTCTTTCTGTTGGGTTGTAACCGGCCTGCAAGGGAGCGACCGAGCAGCACCTGTACACAGCAGGCCTGTGCATGGCTCTCCTGTTCAATGACAATGATGTCGGCGTATGCTGCTGCTGCTGTTTCTCTGGAATGATGGGGCTATCACGTTTGTAATGAAGCCGACGCGATGCACAATTTTAGGATTGTTTCCATGTATGAAAAGAAAAATGTACATTTGAAAAAATATAAATGTCAATACTGTGCAAATAAAAACGAGAAGTATAAAATAAACGTTTTGCGTCCAGTTTGAATTGCTTGGACGAACTTTTGAATAGCTCTTACTTGCCAAACTTTTGTTTAGACCAAGTATTTCACGTGTTGTCTGTCTCCTTCCATCGTTGTTGGGACTGGTGGGATGATGCGTGTTAAGGGGGTTTGAAATGTGCACTAAGTGTGTTAATGATCTATTTACCACAGCGTCTGTCCGCCTTGCTCTGCATATATCACAACAGGGATATCTGCCCTTTTGTATAATACGTAGAATAATCTTTCTTATTTTACTCAATAGGTGCAAGAATTGGTAATCTTTTGGAAGATATTTTTTAAAAATTGTCACTTGTTGTAGAAAAATCATTGCCTTTGTACATATGGAGTTTGCATTTGTACCCACGTTAGATATGTAGGATATGTAATTGTTATGTATATATTATAACCTCCCTGTTCTCTCAGGGAGCCTGGCATTGTAACTTCTGTGACTTTACACCACCTGAATGTTCAGTATACAGTACTGTGCTTACAAAAATAATTAAAAACACCACGACTCTTAAAGCCATCTCTTGTTGGAGTTGTTCTTGCACAGGTTTTCTGCATGCATTCGATTAGCAATGGGTACACACACTCCTGTAAAGTAAATATGCAAAGCTTTGCAGAACACAATTGGAGCAGCAAACCGCACCGTCGTTTACCCACGAGGACTTTAGGTATCCCAGGCTTACATTGATCAGCATTTTGCCATGTTTGTGCTTACATGGTAATGTTTTAAAAAATGTAGATATTTCAATGTAGGGATGTGCAGTTGTATATACAAACTATACACGTGGACTCAAAATGCTGACATTGACATGGAAGTATTTAGAACACGTCTGCACACAGGACATCCAATACCACATGGCCCTCCTGCCATTCTACTTGGCTGCAGCCCACTCAAGAGAAGCACGAGTCTCAAACTACTCTGTTATTGAGCTTAGAGCTTACGCCTGCAGACAAGTGTTGTGGGTGTGCCCATAAAAGAGATCTCTAAAGCCTTGAGAACGGTCAGCCTCTCCCATCCACAGCTTAATACAACTCCACCTTGTACCAAAACTTCTGTCATCCAGTGAAATTTGACTTCAACCTAAGCTTATTGTTCAGGAATCTAGCGTTTTAGATCAAGATGCATTGACGAGTGAACATGATCCAGTTAGCCTACAGAGAGCATTGCTATATTTGCTCTAAGACCCATTCTCCAACAGTCATTTTTCAGCTCTCCATAGCAATACTCAAGGATGATCCATAGCAGGTTGCTCCATAGCATCCCTGATTATACTGGTAGGAACCTTCTGGTTCCACCAGCCCACAGGGGATTATTGTGTCAGTCCGTCGTGCATCCAAAAATGGGTGGGGAGGGGCTGGGTGGGGAGGGTGGTGAGGGGCTGGGTGGGGAGGGGCTGGTCACCCCGTGGTGCCCTTATAAAACTAAACGTTTAACCTACTCCCGCCCTCAGTCGGCCATATTTGCGGAATACACCATGCCGCCGTTGACCCTGGCCATTGACCGAGCAACCCAACGTTCCTTCCAGCTCCCTCCGCAGGAATGTGTTTGCAGCACCATGAATGGCATCTCTTTGGGCCTAACGCAAGCAGTTTTGGAAAATCCAATTTTTTCATCAACATTTTTATTGATTAGGTCACACCAGCTGTACTTATTAGGTTCATAGATTTATCCCTGGTGTCGGCAGATGAACATCGAATGGCTTGGAGAATTCACTGCCCCATCTGAAAAGACCTGACAACTGTGCTGGAGGCTTCATACAAAACAGGTGTTGGGGGTACAGATATCTACACCACGGCATTGGCAGATTGCTGGTTCTTAGAGCAGTAACAAGTGGCAGGATCTGGAATGGGTTCATTTTTCCCCAAACTTGTATTAATTCCATCGGGATGGAAAAAAAATTGCATCTTGATAGCTTTAAATCGAAATTTTTGGCTTTCTAGACTGCAGGGATTCATATTCTTGGTTCTTTCGGTAAAGTCACGTAGAATGGAAATAATAAAATCATAAATATAAAACTATAAAATTCACGTCTCGATTGCAACACAAGCAATCATCAGGTGTGAAAATCACAGCAAGAAAATTTGAAAAAAGTGCTGTGGTTTTCACACCTGATGACGATTGCTTGTGTTGCAATCAAAACGTCGTGAGAATTATATTGTTTTCTTTTTATTATTTTATTATTTCCCTTCTACATGACTTTACCGAAAGAACCAAGAATATGAAGCCAAAATAAAATTACAGAATTCAGGTTGCTGGCACCTGGGTGTGGTTGTAATTTTTCAATATTTTATGAAACGCCGAACAGCAGCACAACTCTTCACGTTGGAGAACAACCCACGGAAGAGGATATCATCGAACTAAAAAAAATCCCTTCAACTTTAGAAATTAGCAGTTATCACGGGTGATTTGTTACTGAAGGAGTAAAAATGTATCCGATTTTAATTCTGATGACAATGACAAGTGTTTTCCAGGTCAAGCAAATATTAGGCAAGTAGCAGACTGGCACACGACAGGCTGTATGTGTATTCATTCAGACAAGCTGAATTTAGATTCCATTGGACAATTAAATGCACATTGGATAAAAAACAAAGAATGTAGTTAAATAAAGAAAATCACTCATTGAAAGACTCAAACAGCTTCAAATTCCTTTAGTCAAGTTTGCGTCACATCAATCCCGAAAATCAATATTTAATACTTTTATATTTCTACATTATCTGCCACTTTGCTCCAAGCCGAAGGGAATGTACATTTGCAAATTCAGTTCGATTAAATTTAAGAACTAAAGTCAATTTCTTTTCACGTATCAATTAGGAATGACTCGATAAATCGCGTTTGGCAGCTCAAGAGGAAGCCCGGCGCATGGCCCGGGTCATCGCGCGACTTGCCGCTCATCGGTCGAGCATGTGCTTCACGATGGCCTCGTTCACCACGTCCCTCAGGTTCCTGATGACGGAGCGCGGGTCGTCGCTCTTCATGATCGCACTGCCCGACACAATCATGTTTGCTCCAGCCTGCAAGATGCACACATGCGCACAAACACACAAACGTAGCGCATGCAGGTGCTCATCGCAGCCCAACGTCACACATTTGTCTTTAATACTTCATATCCAAGAACAATATATTCAGGGATGCTGCCATGGTTTAATTTGTACAGCCTTGTGGCTCCATTAGTTTAAATGTATCGATTGTAAATAATTGGCGAATTGTTAGACTGCCTCGTGAATGCCAAGTCAGGAAGTGGATCAAGATATCTCATGGAAGAAGAAACAGACATCACCTACAATCAGACCAAACATGGTCGTAATCCCAATATCATTACACAGTGAGTGAAGAAAGTGACAAAGGCTGAACCGGGCAGTTTACGCCGAATTGCAAATTGGCCCCTACGTGGTACAGAAGACATCCGTACAGTAGGAATACAAGGTGTGCAAATTGGGTACCCAAAATGACGATGAGAACCAACTTGAGGTGTGACGGCTGATTGTGGCACGACGAAACTACGTCTGCCGTTTGAGCTTCAAGTCACAATTGCGGAAGCCTGTCAGCAGTGCTTGGGATTCCGTGACGTTACAATTCCATGGCCTGATGCGGCGTGGTAAGGTACACGATGATTACTGTTAACCATGTGCAGTACCTGGTACCCATTCGTAGGCCGAGTTAAGCCAAGGCCAAAGTAAGGTTCAGATATGGATTTAAAATATTGAACCAGAGTTGCACAGAATGTAGTGCAAAGTACTAATTACTAGGTATGTACAACTGCTTTTGCATCGCACGTAGCCAATATATAACCACATCTGAAATTGTACAAATAAAAAGGCACTTCTAGCCATATTCATGCACAAATACAAAAATCTACCACAGCCTGTAAAGGACTGTTGGAAGCAAATGCTGTATAACGAGCACCTATTAAAGCCACCACAGCACAAGAAAGGCTGTTTGTGGAAAGCGCCAAGCCCAGCCACCTTTGCCTCCTCAACATTGACGTTTATACGCTGCAATAAGTACTCATTTAAGGCCAAGTCAATCAAGAGGAGGCCCAGGACAGTTCAGATATTCAGACACTCAAGTCAGCAGGTTCGTAGCACAGTGCACCAAAGCAACATGCAATCGTGTGCACGCACACAAACAGGCACGCACAGGCGCACACAGGCGCACACACAGGCGCACACACGCCGCCATGTACCTCTGCACACTTGTGGATTGTGTCGGGCCCCACGCCACCATCCACCTCGATGTCAAGAGACGGGAACTGGGAGCGAAGCCACTGCACCTGCGGACCAAGGGAAGCACGTCCACTAAATGAGAGAGCGAGTCCCCTGCCAACTAAAATCTACTCGCTGCGGCAGGGCGGTGGCGCAGCGTTAACACACTCGTGCCTCGCAGCAACAAGCCCATGGGTTTTGATTCCCGACTCTGGGCCCCATTCGGTGTGGAGTTTGTACGTCACCGCCCTGTTCTGCAAGAGATACCAGAGTTCTTCGAATTCCTCCCAGTGCTAAACCGTACAATGTAACTGGTAGTGACCAGAACATGCCAATGCAGAAAGTTACCAGCCGATTATTAACTGGCATCAAACGTAACACCGCCCGCCCCCCCACACTGCGAACACTTGGCAGGACCCTCCTAAAAAAAGTCTTAACACTTTGTGAGGCTATCCTAGGTAAAGAAGTGTAAATGATAATACAAATCTCTATCTCTATATTTTACAAACTCCGGAGGATGCCATCATAACAGTAGATCTCATCATGAGATATTGTTAAATGTCGAGGCTACATAAAGCAAACGTCATGTATTATATTTTGAAACAAAACAACGTACTGCACCCAGGCCATGTGTTGTATTTGCATTCATGTGTTACTGCTCTCAAGTGGTATTATTATTCATAAACAAACGTCAACAAGGCAATAATAGGTTGTCAGATGGCATAATAATCGGAACATTGTAAGATAACTGGCAATCACCAGTTTACTTAGCCTATCTTCCTCGCGGGAAGAATAAGGAAAGCCTGCACTTCTCGCAATATTGTTACATCTAAAGTTCTTAAAATTACATTCTACTTATGAATACACTTTGGGGAGCTTCCAAATGCAAACATACAAGTGATGTTGTTATCTGGAGGGTGCAGGGTGTGCAGATGCTGCTCACCTTGGGCATCATGTCTTCCATGAACGACTGCCCTCCGAAGCCAGGCTCCACAGTCATCACCAGCACCATATCCACCTGGGAAGCCCAGGGTGCCAGCTGCTGCACAGTGGTGCCTGGCTTGATGGCCAGACCCGCCTGCGAAGTAGCCCACGCAACATTTCGTATGGCAGCCTCGACATTACATGCAAATTGCACCTCCTAGCAAAGACTTTCAGATTCAAAAATTTTTATTTTTAAATTGACAATTTTGGTTCTTTTTCCAATTTTCGGATGATATACATTAAGTAATCATTTAAGAATCTTCATGCTCACAAAAGTGATATTACCCGATGCCATGCGAGACCACGTTCGGTGGGAAAAGCACAGAAGTGATTTAATATTTGCGAGGCCACTTCGTGACGTCGTACTTTTGGACCTAGGTACGAAAAAAAAATTTTGGTAGTGGTCTGAAAAATGTGAACATCCAATTCCCTGCAAGGCAAAGCAACCAACGCTGATAGGCATGACTGCGTATGTGTGTATGGGGACCCGGGTTCGTATCCTGCTCACGGCCAACACCGGTGACGATTATCTGAACCGGTCCTGGGCCTCCCCTAGGTCGACTCAGCTTCAAATGAATACCTGGTGCAATGTGTAAACATTTCCACTAGTCGGCCGGGCGTGGTGTTGTCCACCCACCCCCTCGTGTGTCGTGCCAGATCTTTATAGGTGCTCGCTAACAGCACTTGCCCCTACAGTCTGTTAGGGCTATAGGGGCGGGTTGGTGGCAGGCCAGTTTACTGCAAGCCCTTTGTCTGAACAGGGCTCAGCAGCCAGTGCGCAACCAATTGATTCCGGAGATGATTATAGGAACATTTAGACTCATCAAGTCACCCTGGTAATTTGGGTACCACTTTCACTGGGGTTTGTTTTGCTTCCCGTGCACATTGAAAGTCGTTTGCGATTTGCAAGATTGGTTAGAGGATTTGTACGTGATTCTGCAACAACAAAAACATCTGGGCTGCGCATCAAAAAAAGAACACACTGCCCATGTGTGGACCATCGTGGTTAAAGTATTGGTTTAAACAGTAAATCATTTACAAATGAAACACTTTGCCAAAAAAACAGACACATTTAGCAGAATCATAATTACGCCAACTTTAGTCTCGCAGAGATGCACACAGCACAGATCTGATAAAGCTGCACAACCCCTTACTCATCACGCTCCATCCCATTAATTTGGTTTGTGCCATATGCGCTGGGGGTCTGCCCGGTAAAAAATAACAACTCACGCTTTAAGTAAATAACCCTTTATTACCGAACTCTCGTAGCAGACATCCACCAAGGTGGAAATGGTTATTTAAAATCCTTTCATCCGTTTTGAAATTGTTCAAAGTGAAGATTTTTGGCTGTAGTTAGGGGACATTTTGTTGAAAGTTGAGTGCGTGAACATGGGTCAGCATGACCAGCTGCAAGTGTGGATGAGCAGGGTACCTTCATGCCATTGTCACGGATGACCTTGATGAGTGGCCCAGGGCCCTGGATGGCCTCCAAGTGGAAGGTGTACTGGCTTGCTCCTGCTGCGGCCATGGGCTTTACCCACTGCTCTGGCCGGGCCACCATCATGTGCATGTCTAAACATGCCACACACACACACACAAACAACACAAAAGACAAATATAGCCTCAACAGAATTTTGGGGCAAATGCTGTTAGCAAGCACCTATGAAGGCCGGCACAGCACATGAGGTGGTGGGTCGCCAGGACCATGCCTGACCACCTTTGTCTCCCTGCACCATACATAGCCAATCGATTAGCATCGTTGGCAACGTAGGGGGCGAAAGAAGTTCAACATAACACACATATCAGTCACCAAAAACATGCACACATCGCCATGAGTGTAATCAAGGACAAAGATCTCTCATTACATAGCCTAAACAGGCCGATGTAGCCCAATCATATGTTTGTGGTGCCCGCGTCAGAAGTATGCCTGGACTGCAGTCCAGAAGGACACATTCTAGACAGCCACACTATCGCTATCACTCACAGGCCTGCATTGCCACAGTATATCTCACCAAACACTTGTGAGCTGATGTCATCACTCATTCTCCATGGTGACGGTCCTATCTGGTGTTCTTCTCTGCTCTGGCTGCCATTATATTACACCAGTCTCCTTGCTTGTGGCTATCATCCCTTGTCCTGGGCCAAGCCCACTTACTTGCCTTACCAGTCAATACGATGTCCCGGATTTGTGTTCGTTGCCTGCACCGTATGTTCTACTTTCCTTCTCAGTGTAATTCCAAGCATGCGCTTCTCTACGATTCTTTGAAGCATGTGCAGCTTATGCTTTATTTTCCTTGTCAGAGTCCATGCCTTTGGTGCATATCATTGTAGATACCATGCAACGAATGCACACATTGGTATGTAACTTTCATTAATCAATTAAGTTTCTCAGAACGCACTCCATTCCCTTCTTGTTCCTCTCTTTATTTCACGAGAACAATCCTAACCTGCCTTCAACAATTGCCCTATTTGTATATTTTATGCTGTGTTTTCCAATTGCATCTTTCCAAAAAAATTACACAAAATTAAACATTTACATTACCTAAATGAATAACTTTAATTCCAGCACAGTGTTTCCTTCCAAGCTTATGCGGAGATGGGCTGACCCGGTGCATCAGTTTTCTTAATAAAGCCCATTATTTCAAAGATAAAATTTTGCCAATTCACAGCTTGCAATAGGATTTACACAGAACTGCTTTTTGCTACATTACAAGTCACAATCCAATGCAACAGTATTTACCCTACAGCAAAGAAGTAAACTGGAACAGCCTGGCATGTGATGTTTCTACGCAGCATGCAGATGCGGCCAACGAGTTGGCATGGCTCTGTAAGCAGTTTTTTGAGCTTTGAGAAATGGGATTTTCAAACTGGTTTTAATTTTCATGTTTCCCCAAAAACACCCGGTTACATGCGGTACATGGTATTACCCAGGGAGAATAAACTATACGAACAAAACATCTACAGCATGTGAGAAAAATAACTATGGGAAAAACAAAGTCTCAGTTGAACAAACCAATGGAAACGTTCAAAGATAGTACAAAATACATGAGTGATTGTGGAATTACGAAGAAAACCATTGATCGTGGTGGCCTCTGTAGGCCTTTTGTCCATTGCATGCTTCGCAGACTCGGTTTTGACATCACCGCGTGATGTTATAATTTCCAGTCGTACGTTTCCCTCGTATTCCAGTGGCGAGCCAAAAAAAATCAATGACACGTATTGTTTAAACGCCGCCCTTGTTCCAGTTAAGGTCAGCGGGTGAGAGGGCCCGATTCAGGTCACGCGAGTGCAGGCGGGCGAGGGGAGACTCCATGTGGGGATCAAAAAGCATAAGCTGCTGCCACCTACCAAAGAAGGGCTCTGTTCCCAGCGACTTGCGTAGACTCTCCACCACAGGGTGGCCAAACGTCAGGTTGGGCACGAAATGGCTGCAAGTGAGATGGTCGGGGGTAAACAAGACACGAGAGCTCTCACATGCTGGCCCACAGCACTCCTGCTTTGAGCAGATAAGGAGGAGTGCCAGCACACACACACACCTTTAATTATGAAGACACATTGTGGGCGCATGAAAGGATCACCATTCACAGGGGGCAATAATGTAGCAGGCTTAAGCAAGCAAAATATAAACGAGTTATATTAAGTCTCGTACAACTACAATATAAACAAATTATAGATTTGAAGCGATCGTGACTGCAAGGATTCATACTCTTTGTTTTTTTTGGTAAAAAATACAATAAATGAAAACTAAATTTTAGAATAAATGAAAATAACAAAATTTTAGTTTTTTCATTTATTTTATTTTATACCTACATGACTTTAACGAAAAAACCAAAGAATAGAAACAAAGTACAGTTCATGTCACCGTTGATGAGGATGGATATTAACACCAAATAATATGCATCTTGATCCAATATGAACCCCTTTGCTAAATCAGTCAATAACCCAGTTATTAAAATCAAAGTAAAATTATTTGTGACATTTAAAATGAAAATATTTATCCAATGTCCACAAAACACCCATATAGTATGTTGTGGTTGCTGGCATTGCAGCGATAGATATTGATAATGTTTTCGAGATTTGCATTTCAATGACAACACGTATTATTTACAAATCAAATACAACAAATATATACACACCGAGGAATTCTCCATAAATTCTAAAAAAGGTATTTAGGAGAAACCAATGTTGATCACCAATTCAATACTATTTGGTTCTTTCGGTAAAGTCACGTAGATGAAAAAATAAATGAAAATAACTAAATTAAATCACGACGTTTCGGAGGCAACACAAGCTTCCGTAATTAGGTGGAACAGTCACAGCAAAATTACTCAAACGACACAGCCGACATTCTACAACCAAACTGCCTTATAAATAAATAAAAAACGTGTTATTAATGGCAAGCAAAACTAAACGTTTGACTTTGTTACGGGTCTAAAGCAGAACAATTTTCACACTAATCTGGATTCTCAGCCACATGTCGTTCTCAACACTGCCGCCTCGTGGCCGGCAGACCTACAGCACCTGGCAAGCCTGTGGTCACCCATCCAAACAGCACGCAGGCTCGAAGCGGAGAGCTTGGAGAGGAGCTGCTACGAGTAGCAAGCGGACTGCCGTTGGCTTGAGATCTGCACAGGCTCAGCAATGCTGGCATGAACTCCGATGCCATTTGCAACATTAAGTAACGCATTGCACACAGAGCTCGCTTCTAAACCCACCACATCGCACTGAACAAGTGCGATGTGGTGAGCCTCAGATGTGGGCCAACGAAGACGGACTGGGCAAATGGCGCTCTGGTCATTGTCAGTGAAGGCCGCACGGGCTGCGAACAGCTCCCACCACCACCATCATCATCATCGTCACCACCATGATCATCGCCACCATCATCATCATCATCGTCACCACCATGATCATCGCCACCACCATCATCATCATCGTCACCACTATGATCATCGCCACCACCATCATCATCATCATCGTCACCACCATGATCATCGCCACCATCATCATCATCGCCACCATCATCATCATCGCCACCACCATCATCATCATCGTCACCACCATGATCATCGCCACCACCATGATCATCGCCACCACCATCATCATCGCCACCACCATCATCATCATCGTCACCACCATGATCATCGCCACCACCATCATCATCATCGTCACCACCATGATCATCATCGTCACCACCATGATCATCGCCACCACCATGATCATCGCCACCACCATCATCATCGCCACCACCATCATCATCATCGTCACCACCATGATCATCGCCACCACCATCATCATCATCGTCACCACCATGATCATCATCGTCACCACCATGATCATCGCCACCACCATGATCATCGCCACCACCATCATCATCGCCACCACCATCATCATCATCGTCACCACCATGATCATCGCCACCACCATCATCATCATCGTCACCACCATGATCATCGCCACCACCATGATCATCGCCACCACCATGATCATCGCCACCATCATCATCATCGCCACCATCATCATCATCGCCACCATCATCATCATCGCCACCATCATCATCATCGCCACCATCATCATCATCGCCACCATCATCATCATCGCCACCATCATCATCATCGCCACCATCACCACAGTTTCGTGCTTCCACCGCACCTCCGATTGGCACAGTTGGCTACGTACGGTGCGAAAGAAGTTCAACTTATAGTACATACCTCAAACTGGTCGTTATAAACCACTCAAGACTACCACAACTACACCCTCCTCGTCACAACCATCTTCACTCAAATCATCAACCACCATCACAGATGACATCATCACCATACTCCATCACCACCACCAACAACGACTGTACCACGACCACCGTCAACAACGAGGGCACCGCCACCTCTTCCCACGCTCGCCTCACCACCATCGCCACGAACCCACCCGTCCATGACGTCCAGGTGCAGGTAGTCGGCGCCGCACTCGAGCATGCGCCGGCATTCGGCCGCCAGGCAGCCGAGGTCGCTGTTGAGGATGGAGGGCCCCACGCGGGCCGAGTAGGCGGCCATGGTGGAGTCGCGGCCTCCCCACGCGCGCCTCCCCCCTATAAGCCCCGCCTCGTCGTTAGCCCCGCCCCCCCTCTCCACGCCCCCCCTCTCCACGCCCCCCCTCTCCACGCCCCCCCTCTCCACGCCCCCCCTCTCCACGCCCCCACCTCCACTGGCCCCGCCCCCTCCATTGGCCACGCCCCCTCCACTGGCCCCGCCCCCCTCGCCACTGGCCCCGCCCCCTCACTCGCCCCGCCCCCTCCGCTGGCCCCTCCTCCCTCCTCCACTGGCCCCGCCCCCTCTTCACTGGCCCCGCCCTAACCTCCATCTGGCCCCGCCCCCTCCACTGGCCACGCCCCCACCTCTACTGGCCTCGCCCCCCTCCATTGGCCCCGCCCCCTCCACTGGCCACGCCCCCTCCACTCGCCCCGCCCCCTCCGCTGGCCCCTCCTCCCTCCTCCACTGGCCCCGCCCCCTCTTCACTGGCCCCGCCCTCACCTCCACTGGCCCCGCCCCCTCCACTGGCCACGCCCCCACCTCTACTGGCCTCGCCCCCCTCCATTGGCCCCGCCCCCTCCACTGGCCACGCCCCCTCCCCACTGGCCCCGCCCCCTCCCCACTGGCCCCGCCCTCACCTCACCTGGCCCCGCCCCCGTCCTCAGCAGCGTTGATTCAACATTATTACAGACATACAGTACTCTTCGGTTCTCTTAGGGTTTTCCGGTAAAGTCACGGAGGTAAAAAAATAGTAAATAATAAAATAATAGCGGTAATAATTGAAATAAAGTAATTTCTATTACTATTATTATTTCTATTATTTTCTTATTTACTTATTTTTTTCGTCTACGTGACTTTACCGAAAAAACCTAAGAGTATGAATCATTGCAGTCACGAAAGCTTCAAATCTAGAATACTCTTCGGTTCTTTCAGTAAAGTCACGTGGGTAGAAAAATAAAACAAAATAATGTGATGTATTATTTGTATTTTGTTTTATTTTTCTACCTACGTGACTTTACCGAAAGAACCAAAGAGCATGGATTCCTGCAGTCACGAAAGCTTCAAATCAGGATAATTATTACAGAATCAGAATACAGGCACTCCTCTACTTACGAACGAGTGAGGCTCCAGAGGTCTGTTCGTAAGTCGATGTGTTCGCAAGTCCAACTTTACTCCTGTCGATTCCAAACATGTTATAAGGCGTGTACATTAAATACGGGGAATGGCTTTAAACGTTTTAAAATCGCCTGTAAATGTAGATGCCACTGGTTCATCACGTTTTGCAGATGTAGATGCCACTGGCTCTTCACGTTCTGCAATGTAGATGCCACTGATTCTCCATGTTCTGTAGATGTAGATGCCACTGGTTCTTCACGTTCTGCATATGTAGATGCCACTGGCTCTTCACGTTCTGCAATGTAGATGCCACTGGCTCTTCACGGTCAGCAGGTGTAGATGCCACTGGCTCTTCACGTTCTGCAATGTAGATGTCACTGATTCTCCATGTTCTGTAGATGCCACCACCGCCATCTATTGCGTGGCAGTTGAACTTACGACTCTCGGTCCGAACAGGAAACTGGACATATGGACAGGTTTGTTCCTACCTCTCAAAGTTCGTGAGTCGAATTTTCGTAAGTAGAGGCGTATCTGTATGTATTTATACTGGAGTAATCCGATGAGCTTCTTTTTCACGAGCCATGGGCAGATAGCTCGTAGGTGTCCACTGAACATTTCGTCACTTGTTTCCACTTTCTCATCTGTCTTGTAGTGCCAATATGCTCAAGTAGAGCCGCATCTTTATGGCACCAATGTCGAATGTCGTCGTCAAGCCATTTCTCTGTGAGGTCTTGCATTGATTCAACACAATCAGAATCTTTATTTGGACTGCTGGAGGAATCCCGATGAGCTATGAAGCTCTTTTCATAGATGTCCAGTAGGGGGCGTGTTATAAAGTTATAACAACAAAAACAAACAATACAAACAAATCGAAACGTCGTATGCTATTATTTAATTTATTATTTTATTTTTATACGTGACTTTACCGAAAAAACCAAAGAATAATTCCTGCAGTCACGAAAGCTCCAAAATTAAGATTAATACAAACAAACCCATAGAAGTGCAAAGTATAGGAAAGGTAATTAACCAAACTAAGTAAATAACTAATCAAAAATAACTAAACACACATTTACAAAGTATATAAGTTCAAATTTCACAAGTACCGTACATCAATTCTCAAGCTTGAGAAATGCAACAAAACAACAGCGAAAAACACCAAACTCTGGACCGGATTCGACATTCAGTGGCTCATCATCTCGCTTTAATCAAGGCTGGTGGTGACCTGTCGGACGTCCACAGGTGGAGTGGCATTCCTTGGTGATGCGTGGAAGAGTGCCCGGCTCGAGCTGGGCCGTGGCACTCAGGAGGTATGGACACCAGGACCCCCAAAAGGGGGCTGGGGAGATGACGTGTCCACAGCCCAGGTCCTTCTCGAAAGTTCGAGAAGGAGGGCGTGGCTCGGGGCGGAGAGAGCCGGGACTGACTATATAAGCCGGACCCCTGAACGGGTCCAGCTGTTGTTGTGTAATTCTAGATTTGAAGCTTTCGTGACTGCAAGGATTCATACTCTTAGTTTTTTCGGTAAAGTCACGTAGGTAAAATTTTTTATTATTTTACTTTTATTAATTTTAATAAAATAATAATATACATTATTTTATTTTTATAAATTTTAATTTCATTTTTTACCTACGTGACTTTACCGAAAAAACTAAGAGTATGTTGGTGTGTACTTGAAGACCCGAAGCCGTCACCCTGAAGAGGAGCCTGAAGACAAGACCCGCACCCCAGCCAGGGTCAGCCTCCCCAGGGCTAGGCGCGTTAGCCCGGAGGACAGACCTCCGTAGAGTATCGGGTGGAAGGAAGAGGCCGTTACCCCTTCGTGTTAAGGTTACCCTTGTTATAATGAACGCGTTGCCTCTATTGAAGTCTCGCTCTCCATTCTTCTACCCACCGCACAGGCAAGGAACCTCGTGTCTGGAGGAATGTCTCGATGGCGCCCTCTACCGCACGGAATGAGACGCTCCACTGCAAAGGCGCTGGATCTGGACGCCCTGTGACCCATGGCACATTGCCGCCTGCACGACAAGCAACTCCCATTTAACTTCCCACGTGCGAGAAACTCCCATTTAATATTGTGTTATGTAATGACGACACCGCGATTTTTTATTTATATTATTATTTCTATTATTTGTATTATTTACTTTTATTTTTACCTACGTGACTTTGCCGAAAAAAACCTAAGAGTATGAATCACGACATAGTTTTGGGTCGATCTAGGATCCATATCTAACAATAAGGGCCATTGTCCAATGCCTCTACAAATTTGGCAGTTCACCAGGATTGGTTTAATTAAAGCAATCTGACTGCTGATGAGAGACTGAATGTCAAGACCCGTCCTTGTGGCAGGTGTGATACTTGTGCTTATTCTTTGGGTCTTTCGGTAAAGCCACGTAGATAGGAAAATAATACATTATCACGACGTTTTGACCGCAACACAGGCAATCGTCATCAGATGAAAAAATTATAGCGGGAGAGCTGCCGAGGCAGGAAAAAAAGGAAACTCTCTCGCGATATTATTTCACGTGATGACGATTGCTTGTGTTGCGATCGAAACGTCGTGGTAATTTTATTATTTTTCTACCTACGTGGCTTTACCGAAAGACCCATAGAATATGAATTCCTGCAGTCACGAAAGCTTTAATTCAATACTTGTGTTTAGGTTGAGTGATAGACATACGATGGTAACGGATTGTCTGCTTGTTTATTCTGTTCGTCATATTCTCCACAACGAAGCAAATCATTATGTAGTGGTATCTTTTATCGTGCAGTGCCACGAAGGCTTCAGTGGTCATTGCGATGTGGGTTGAGATTGTCTCACGGGCGCCCTCTACTGGACGGGATCGATAGTTGCCACGGGTTTGCACCACGTGAGCACCCTGAGATGGCCTCGGCCCTGCAACAAAGAAGCGACCACTCCACACTGCCCAGTTCCATTGCATGAGCTCCAGCTGATGAAGCCAGCACGAGGCGATGCTCATCTTCATCAACAATCCTGAGCCAGGGAGTTCAATGCCACATTCTCCCCTCAGGGCTCTGAGACAAGTTAAATATGTTTAAAGCTGGGACGATTAGTCGATTAGTTGATGAATCAACTACTTTTTACGTGGTTGATCCCTCAGACTCCCTTAAAACGGCGGCCGCCCTGCCATCCTGCCTCCCGAAGGCAAGAAGCCCCCTCGGTTTGGACATCTGCGGAAAAGAGCGTCACAGCTCATGGGATTCCTCCAGGACGAATTTTGATTCTGAAGTCACGGCCAACGTGAAACACACGTGGGACGAAGTGAGATGTTCACGGCTATTGTTTGTTATCAGAATTGTCAGACGAACCGATAATCAGAAGACTAATTAATTACTTAATCGCATTTTCCATACTGTAATGCTTGATCAATAATGATTATGATAATTAATCACAAAGTTGTACTCATTGTATTGCTCCTGGATGGACGATGGGCTGTGTTGACTCTGGACTGGTATTTAAACTCAACACTTGCCAATTGCCAGTTGAGAGCTCCCGCCGGTGGCATCCGCCCAGGATAACGACGACGGCTCTCGACATCTCAGCACGAGACGCCTATGACTCGAGTCGCCCCCAATCTGCACGGTCAAAATCACAATTCATCGTTTTTACTTGATCAGGGCTGTGAGCCTGTGTCATGGTGATTGCTTGGGACGACTATTTTAAGGTTTGCGAGAAAAAAACATTCGAATGTTTTTGTTGTATTATTTATTCGTGTTTCCGATGAAAACTAAAACGTGCACATTGCAAAATGCGTCAGACGTAATTTAAATAACAAAAGACAAAATCAAGCAGCCCTACAGATAAGAATAACCTGTTTATTTGATGCTTGGGCTAAATTGAGCAGCTACAGTAGATACACGAAAACTGAAACGGCAAACACGTTACTGGAAATCACGGAGCCACTACTACATACGACAGAAACAAAACGTCGAATCACGTTGCGCAAGAGCCAGCACAACCACAACCCAAATGCAAAGCACAGCAACCACATCGTCCATCCGCGTTGTCGCCTGTCTCCCCCGAGATCTGTTACACTGCCGACCAGAGGAGAGAGCACGTGGGCTCGTCTTCGAGAACTCCCATCGAGGCTGCCCACGAATGTTGAACTGACTCACAAGTCGACTGCGATGCCATGTGTTAAAAAAACAGAACACGTCAAGCGTGGCGTTTAACTTCCCATAAGAGAAAGCATCAACCAATTTATAACAGTATGCAATCGTTTTTATGATCACGTTTGAGATAAGTACACCATATGGCAGTTTTGTGAAACAATGCACTCTGCCATTATCAAACAAAACATTCAGCCAACCCAGTGACGCCAGTGAATTACACTCACTGGCAACACATATTCAAACAAAGTTGTGTGAGCTCTCTGCAATCCAATCAAAGGCATACATTTCACGTGTGTTGACCTTTATCCGGTGTCACAGTAATGCTGCAGATGCACAACAAGCAAGGTAACATTGTCTGTTGCTATATGTTCCGGTGAGCATTGGTTTCGGTGTGAAAAGATTAAGTGATTGAGTCTAAATCAGCAGATTTTCCTCACAGCGATGCGTTTCCTAAAATCGCCTGCATGGGCTGAGTGACGCGTATGGCTGCATTGGAAACTGTGAAGGGTTCCCGCAGGTGGAGGAGCTTGTGGAGCCACGAGTTGGCCCACAGTATCAAGTGAGACACGAAGAGCAAAGGAGCGTTAATCCTGACACCGTAGCTGGATCAATTCCTTTCCTTCCATCGACCAGTGGGGATGCCCACGGCAGTCCTCGTGATTGTGCCCAGGCAATGGCCACCAGGCAATGGCCACCCAGGCAATGTTTACGTTGCTACCACGAAGGCGACGCCACAAGGCTGCTTGCATGAGACGTGAATGGAATGAAAGGGAAAAGCCTCCACCGGAGGCGATGGCCCTCTGTTCTCCCCGCCATTTATTACCTGTGATGCAAGCTGCAAATAATGTTAAGACTTCATTGTGGAAATTCAGCATTCCATCCAAATTGTTGGTGGAAAGAATTGGTTTTTAAAACGTGTAGCTATGACAGCACGGGTTAACAGAACAAGCATCATCCCTAGAATCGTTAAAATCAATATGATGCCTCTGTGTGCAAACACGTTCTGAACTTCTGTTATGCTGCAGTTATTTTGTTATTACAGCCAATAAAGCCGGGGTTTCAATATAGCATCCATTTGAAACTCTGGGCCAGATATGTGAATGGCCACTCACAGTTATGTAACCAGATTGTCAGCATTCTTTATCAGAGCAAGTTGTTTTTTGTTTGCAATCGCGAATTCACGAGTTTTCTCCCAGGGAGCTGTGTCTGTTGGTGCCTAGTCTGCAATAAGTATGCATCCTGCATCAGAGTTATGTTTACAGTCTGCAACAGGGCAACTTGATTCTGAGTGAAGACACAATCCACTGGGGAAATTTCACATTTTTACCCAACAGTGCAGCGGGGGAAATAAGCAAAAATAAATCAAGAAAAAGAAAAGTAGAAGTTTATAGTGGACCTCATTCATTTTTCGTAGAGGTTTAAAATGGAAAACATCAGTATATTTGACTATAAGTGTACTACAAGTAGCAATGCAGCAGACTAAGGGAGGTGTAATAAATGTGCAGCAGCAGCAGCTGATTAATTATACCAATTAAATTCCTGCATGAGAGAATCGGGTTGAGATCTGAGGTAAATAAGCCTCTCAAAAAGAATGTTACGCTCTTCTCAATCTGTTCCCAATCCGAGGCGGCGATGTGGACGCAAAATTGTCAATGCCATGGCCAGTCTTGTGGTACGGGCACGACAGCATTATGTCAAAGGTGCCTCATTTCAACTGCAAGAGCTCATGCTTTAAATAGAACAGCCCCATTAGGCATGTCCAGTGCGACCGATGAAAAATGGTGAAATTGGTTGACCCGAATTGTTACTCTGAATAATGCAGCGTCTCCGCGAGAATGCCAGCGGAGATAAAGAGCGGAACAGCATATGGTGGTGGTGGTGCACCTTTACGCTACCGTTGGGGTCACTGCGAATGGTAAATCACGCCATCGCAGCTGCATCTGAGGTCGTATACACCGTAGCCTGTTCCACTTGGATGCACTCCTCCTGCACGGCTGAAGAATGTGGCGTTGCGTGTAACTGGGAATACACTGAGCGCTGTGTGGTGCAATAATTATCACGGTGCAACAACAATTTTTTATTTAAAGCTTTCGTGACTGCAGGGATTCATATTCTTGGTTCTTTCGGTAAAGCCACGTAGAAATCTACAGCAAGAAAATTTTCTTGCTGTGGATTTTCTTGCTGTGGATTTCACACCTGATGATGATTGCTTGTGTTGCAGTCGAAACGTCGTGAGAATTTTTCTTGTTTTATATTTATATAATTTTATTATTTCCCTTCTACGTGACTTTACCGAAAGAACCAAGAATATAAAGCAACGACAATTATTATCAACGAGCCCGAGCACCGCGGGGACGCAATGGAGACGATGTAAGCTTGCTTGTTGTGCAGAAACTCACGCGGCATTCTTATTTACACCGTTGCTCCACCGGACTTCCTCTGTTATCGTAAACCAATTTCCATCCATATCCGAACAATCTACTTAAACCCAGTTGACAATCTGTTCACGACTTGGAAATAAGTCAATTTAATGTTCCCGCACCTGGGGTCTGTTTTGTGGTGGTGGTGGTGGTGGGGGGAGAGTTTTCATATCCAAACTAAAAGGCCTTGATAAATGGTGCTGTGATTTCACCTTGTGACACACGCACGCTCATAGAACGACCAGTGTTATTTTGTGTTATCTTCTTGTAACAGAAAAATCGCCCCCCCCCCACCACCACCACCCAATTACCCCAGCAGACCTGCTGCTGGACCCTGACACATCGCACTTAATAACAAGCATCCGTCGTCACTGTTCGACCCCTACGCCATGCACTCTATCGGGAGAACACGAGCCATCGTCACTGGACCCTTTATACATTGTAGTCAGCCAATGGATGTCTAAAAATAACGTCATATTCTTATTCACTGTATTTTTCCCCCAAACCAGTTTAACTGATATCATCTTATCTGGTTAGTGTCACGTCGACCAAATTCAGACGGACAAATACCACAACTCACGCTGGGGGTCAAATCGTAGCCGGTGTCCTCCTCCCTGCGTCTCGCGTGAAGCGAGCACACAGTGCCTGGGCCAGGCCTGCTGCACGCACTTTCACTTTCAGCATTTTTGCCCTGAAAAGTACAAACTGCACCATCATCCTCTGCTGATAACCTAAACTTTGGCACAGCAGTTCGGAGACATTTGCAGAATGTTCTTTACCCTGTGTTTTTTTTAAATCTCTCTCTCTCTCTCTTTTGTTTCAATAAATGTTCAACTCAGTAAACTCGCAACAAACAGACCTTAATTACAAGACACTTGGCCCATCCAAAGCTGTACGTGACTGCACATCACAAGCCAAGCCGAGTGCTGTGTGCGTGATTCACAACTCCACTTGTGCTCACGGCTGTCTCCACACATTTCATTGTCTCTGTATGTCCCTTGTTGCTGCTATACTCGTCCAGGCATATCCATTAAAGTGCTAAGTTTAGTAAGCATTAAACTTAAATCTCAAAACAGACATGCAAATTCATTCAATATCTAACTGGTCTAACCATATCGGAGTATAGAGAAGTAGTGTTAGTACGCTTCTAAATTAATAGAATGTTAAAGGCTGTTTTTTTGTTTTAGTTTTTTTGTTTGTTAAGCGGCTAAATAATACAGTTATCATAACACAATATATAATATCGTAATTCCGTTCATCTACTACAAGTAACGTAGAGAAATCTTACAATAGCCTAGGGTATTAACAAAACACGCGGTGGTCCAGGTGCATTGTTGAGCTGGGTAACAACAGCAGAATATTCCTTGAGGAGCTAAACAGGCAGAAGTATTTTTATATATGCTCACCACAGCTTGCTGGGCAACACTTCATTTAAAGTTAAATTAACATGTATTAAATCGTGTAGTATCCGTTTACAAACAACCTTAAGCATAATAAGCAAACTAGGTCAGATAATTGATTTGATCTGGTCTCACGTTTGCATATGTCACAGTGTTGTTGTGTTTTTCTCTCGCATTAAAAAACTATAATCTACATTCACCTGCACTGATCACACCAGTTCGTGGGTTGCAACCTGGACTGGATCATTTCAGCCCTCTTCACCTTGAATGCTGTACGTGCCTAAGAAACCTAACGCAAATATAAGTATAAATTAAGTCGTCGTAACATATCGGTGCCTTAGAATAGTCTGGAAACAGGACTTGGCAGTGCGTACACTCGATCGCTGATCAACTGCAGCATCCAACAGAGCCATCACGTGGCACCAGGAAAGCCCATAGCTTGTGATCCTGTCAGGGGGGAGTCATTTTTGTTCACAACGAATGTTCCTGGTAACTTAAAGACACCCCTCGGTGAGCCGAGCCAGCTAATGTCAAATCACTCACGTCTTGATGGCCTCAAGAAGACTTGCCGCAATGGGGCATTGTATTGTGCCCATTTCCTCGCAAACGCCTCAGAAAGTCGTCGGCAAACACTCACTCTGACCTTTAACCAGCTTTTTTTGCTGCAATGCAAATATTACAATTTCCGTAAAGAGATAAAAACGAATGCTGATGGGATTTGTCTTTTGCTTTGGCAGTGCGCTCAACAAAAGTGTTTATGGGTAACGTTTCCGAGTGCGCCTCATAATTGTCGCGCATGAGACGTTTTTGTTTGCGATAAAACAATCGTGCTTTTGTTGCAATACTCACTAACTAGAAGTGTAATGGTACCAAGACAATTTTGTAGGGATAAGGGATTTAGAAAAATAAATCGCAGACATTAAGCAATTACATAGTAACCAGAAATTATATTTGTAATCAGGTTAGTCAGTTACTATTTTAGAAGCTACTTGGATAAGGATATAATTACAGTACTGGAAACCAATCATGCATTTGCATAGCAAATTCAAAGTTATTTCCAGACACCGGGTTTTAAAATAAATAATTCAATCAATTTCAATAGTAGGTGGCACTTTGCTTTTTTTTCATTTAACATAAAGTGTTAGCGCTCGTTTGCATGACGGATTGACTTGTCTTACGCCAGGTGTCGTGGAACGGGTTGAACGCGTGGAATGAATCCAAACTTTTTCAGTCACAGAAGATAATTCCATCGGCCTGAATAGAGGTGGCATGCAGCCAATCACATGCAGGTGTGATATTTATATATATGTGTGTATATATATATAAATATATCACATGGACAACTCAATTCCTCAAACCCTGAAAAAGTCTGGTGCTTGCTTTACTTGCTTTAAATCCTGATAAACGCAACAAAAATATGTGAATGTTCCACTTTTACAATAAAGTAGGCGACTGACTGGACATGTCCTCTATATAACGGCATGGTGGTGGACGTGTGTGTGTGTTGGACTTCTTTCACACCGTACGCAGCCAACCGTGCTCATCGGCGATGCTTAATTGACACATGCTGCTGGCGGACAGCAAATATGTTTCAATTTCACACTCCAGTCATGTGCCACGATCGAGCGTGCGGAGTTTCCTCAAACGTTTGTGTGTCTTCTTGCGTATGGCGAGGGGGGGAGAGAAATTGTTTTGAAACGTGTTATATAGTTGAATGCGACTTTTGTTCTTCTTCAATCAATCCAAGGAGGCCGCAGATGCTGCTGCTGCGGAGTGCGGTGACACCGCCAGGGTGCTGAGTGGACGCACAGCGTTGAATCCACTTGGGTAGAGGGCGTGCCCAGTAGACGTGGAACCGTCGGCCAAACGTTGGACAAATGGTTCTAACCACAAGCCAACGTTGGCGCAACGTTGGCGCAAAGTTTGATTTTTTACCGTGTAATTGCTTATGGTGAACTTTTTTGGCAATGCTACTTTATAGACCAGTGGTCACTTGGAGATGATTTACCCACGCTTATTTCAGCCAAAGTATTCGGCACGCTTTGTGGACAGACTGTGGACTCGCTACATTTAAAAAGCACGGCACACCCAACAGCAGCAAGCCTTCCAGTTCCACACGAGTACAGAAGCCAATGTGCCGCAGTAGTGCAGCAGCACTACTGCGGCTTCCTCCGGCAATTAAGATAATGAGCACGGCATTGAGGGTGACATTGGCATCGCATCGTGCATTGTGTAATCAATATTATGTTCAAAAACTTCTCCACAACTGCAAGAAGCCATTACATATTCTATACTTATTTCTTGATGTTTCAGCATTGGGTATTTTCGTGGCAACTAAATAAAGTGTCTACATTTTAGACTTTTCATAGAGATTTCATCGATACATATACAGATATTTTAATGTTAAAACTAGTTTCACATCTATTAACATTACTTACTGTATTTTTGTTTGTATTCATGTTTAGCTCATTGCAATAACAAAAAAAGACGTGGAATCTGAAACGCATTACAGTTTATCAGAGGGCCAAATGGTCTGCATCCCTAACAATAGACACAGCTTATAAATGGTTAAGGATTGCTCCAAAACATTTACCACTTTATGCTACAGCACAACTTTAATAATCCGCGATCCAATATTCTGCGAAGGCCTGTAGCTCGCGGATTCTTTGTTGTGTGCCAATGTGGAGCTGCAGGAGCCAATCGGCTGGGACACGCGGAGGTAAGATTTTTAATTTAGAAATGTTTGTTTTACATCACTACAAACTAGCTTTGTTCACGTGATTTGTTTCATATAACAGAATTATAATTTATTAGACTTGGATATCGAGTCTTTAAAATACAAATCTACCCCAACGCAGACCCATATGGAAGATTTGTGCCATATGGATCTCGGAAAACCCGTTTTCTTGTAGTACAAATATTTTTGCAGATTGATTGAATCGTGTCGCCAATTGCTCCCATAACCTGTGGCACGTCGTACTGGCACGACTTGTTTCCGTGGATAACAAAACCTACCGCTGCGGCGTGCCACGGCTTACAGGATCCGTGATATGACCCCTCCCCCCATATTCCGGATTACTGGATTTCGGAATACTGGAATTTCCGCTGTGTATCTTGTCACCTTATGGTTGAGCTGAGCAGTGTCTTGTGTTTATCATCAAAACTCCATCTACTGTTTAGAAAGCCTGCATTAGCTTGGCTTGTTTGAATCCTTTCTCACTCTCTTTGTCACGTGGTCAAATGCGTACACTCTAGATGGAATCGCCAGCATCAGCACAAGGTGGAACAATCCAAATCGCATGTCCTTTCATTTGCACAAAGAGCGGAAGACTCCAAACAGAACAAAACATAATTTCACTTGCAAAGCTGCTGGTGCAAGTGTGACCAATTCCATTTTGCATTTGGCATCACTTATGATTGGTTAGTAGACTGAACCAACACAAGGTTTTCCAGCCTGCTTAAAACCAGAGATGGTCAAAATGCGTAACTTTAGTTTCACTGTGCGGGATAGCTTTTGGGTTTCGCCCGTAAAGGGAAATTGAGAAAGGTGAAGCCACATCGACTCGAGTGAAAACCAACCTTGGCTTTGCAAACTGCTAAGGACCAGCTGTTCAGTAGCATATAACATCGTCCTGCTGTGGTTACTTGCTGAGTAAAACCAGCAGAGTCTGTTGTGTTTTAGTCACTGTTAAATATAGCTTCATATTTTTTTGGCAAAAGTAATGTCACATTAAAGAAAAGCATATCCATTGCGTAAGCAAGGGCAGCCTCTTGCTGAGCCAAAGCACATTGGCTGTGTCGTCATAATCCTGTCCCATCCCTAGTGCAAGCGCGCTCCCGGAAACGTAGCATTGGACGATGCAAATGGATGAAAAAAATGCAAATCCGTCTGCTGGTGGAAGGGTTAAAAGTCGTGGATGAGAATGTTCTAACATATTTTATCTGCGCAGTGGCAGACGTTGGGGCAAGCCACTTTAAGCTAGAGCCATTTACAGAGGGGTATACTTATATAATACGTTAATAAGAATAATATGACTTGCCTAAATTGGAAATCACGTTGGATGCATTTCATAGGAAATGCTTTCTGCTGACCACAAAGTCCGTCAGAACGTTTTTCGGTCACAATGCTATGCACGATCTTATAGACCTCATGAATTGCATGCTCATATAATATCCGATCTTCTGCACGAGGAGCCCCATTGTGAACGATCACAAAATGGTGAACAGATGCCGCGTGGCTCTGCGTTTGTAGCGAGATTGCGGTGTTAAGTTCATGCGGTATGTCTACATCATGGGGCGCGCGACATTTGCGGCGCTACGTTGAATGCATGCTGTGCGTGCATTAAGCGGTGTGTGGCAGCCTCTCGTCGTTTTCGCACACTTGCGCTCTGTGTCAGCAAATATCAAAGCTGCGTCAATGCACAGCTATGAGCAGCGGCTGGGTACATCTCAAACCTGCGACAGGACCGGCGCCGCATCGCACTCCTTTAAAAGCCACAAAAGAAAGGAAATGCGAGGTTACTTAAGGCCTACGATCACACCACACGAGTACCACGCGACTACATGCTTTCATCAGCAAAATGCACTTTGTAACGTTTCTGTTCACCATTACGCCGATCGCAGAAAATCTGGCCCGTGATACGTGGGGGGAAGGGGGGGTGGAGGGTGGGGGGCACGAGGGGCTGGGCCCCTTACAAGCCCTGCTGGACCAGCACTGCGGCGAGCTGGCTGGCCGGCGGCTCGGACTGCGCGAGGCCGTCCGGTTGCGAGAGGCTGCCCATGGAGCACACTTTGCTGATGCGCAGCGGGGAGGGCCCTCCGGACGCGCTGGGGGAGCGCGAGCGGCTCTCCGCCCGGGCCTCGCTCGTGTCCTTCGGCGGCGAGTCGGTCTGTGGGGCAGCGACAGTGGTTGTCGTGTTGCTTCCTCGGCATACGGACGAGGCTCAGACACAAGATACATCCAAGCTATTCCATACGAGATATAATAAAAAAAGATCAATCATTAAGCAACGTGGCCATTGGTTGGATATGCATATGTATAATAGAAAAAACCATAAACCTTTAGTCCAAGAATAAATACTTATGATGTTTCCTTCCAACAGAGGCCTATATAAGGATTATCTGGATTTAACTCTGCTGCTGTGGCCTCCTCCTTACCCCGTGATTGTGTGCCGTAGCCCAACTCCAGGATTGGCATCTGCTGGCAAAGCCGAATCCTTGCAGCTTGGGTTGCCGAACACTTTTCCAAATGAATTTAATTTGCTAATGGACAGAAGGTGAGGGTTTAATATGGGTGAGTGTGTGATGGCCCAAGCCCAGGACCGGCTTGTTGGCCGGTAGCCCAGTCAAACCCTGCTTGGCGGTTCGCAGAGATTCTCCCCCCTCTCAGGGTTTTGATCAATGAGGCAGTCAGGTGGCTCATCGAGTTGAGTTCACTAACACCACAGCGCCCAACACCATCATAGACCAACAGTAATCCCCTTTTCGTTGCGCGAAATGTTCTTTGTAAGAGATCTGAACGAGCTCTGAATGTGCCGATTGGGTCACCGAATGCTCAATCGTTGCAGTATCTCGCACCTCCGATTGGTGCTGATGAAGCTCAACTCGATGATGGGCTTATGGGCCCTCAAGAGGCAGGTGTGTTTATCTCGACTCTCGTAGCCCTGTCCTCTTCTCAAGCCCCCTCGTGCTACTTATATGCAAGGCTGACTGTGCGAGGTGCTCTAGCTTAGAATAAGCTGAAACGTTTCATCATATAAATTATAAAATGCTCTAAGAATATTCTTGGTTCTTTCGGTAAAGTCACGTAGAAGGGAAATAATAACAATACAATTATCTTATGTTGTAAAATTATTTTATTATTTCCCTTCTACGTGACTTTACCGAAAGAACCAAGAATATGAATCATTGCAGTCACGAAAGCTTTAAATTGCTATAAGAATATTATTCTAATTATACTTGAAAAATAATCCACACTACTTATCACAACTTCTATATTTGGAATGGAAATTTTAGTTTAAATTATAATGCTTTAGAACGTTTATTTCAAATTAACCTTTGCTCCCCGTACTTACAATGCTTTAAAATAATGATGAGTTTTACATAGCGTCATTTACACAGATCTCATCTCAAAATCGCTGAGCAAGCATAGGCAAGCTGGAAGGCAACCAGGCGCTAAGACGGCGCGAACAATTGCCCAAGTTCTGCCGTCTTCTCTCTATAGCAAGGAGAGTGTATACGCACGGGGTGGAAACCGGGGCATCCGGAGAAAACCACGCGTTAAATGAACACGCGTTACAAGGCTGCTCTATTGTTAAACCCGTATCGTTTTCCCAAGTGTGTCTTGTTAAACAACGTTGTCTCAATGGGCTCTTACATGGCTGAAATAAAATGTAATTCATGTAGTTAAATAAGAGTTAATCAACCAGTGCTCTGGAAAAATGTCCCACCACACTAAGCATTACATAATAGTTGGGCATACATGACAGGTGTGATTTTCTAGAAATTGGATCCATTTCACACCAATTTTCTGTTTCATTAATCTCTTTACTGTTTTTTTGTTAAAATCATGAAATCCTGGTTGTGTTTTTAGATTAAACTTTAAGTTGGTAATCTAATTAAGTGCAGTTACATTGCATAAACAATGTTTATATTTACAGAGACTCATGTGCACAGCACGGGATGGTTACTAGAACAAACTCATTTGCACAGATGCGTCGTCCTCATCATTCACGGTCTTCGACTGTTAACGAACGCGAATAACAACCTTGCGCCTTGCTTAATACTCTTCAGGTTTCTCTCGATTTGCCAACACTCGGTTTACGAAGCTTCGCATCAACGCAACTGAACAAATCATGGACGCTTTTTGATGAACGAAATTGAATTTCCACGCGATAGAAAGTTCACTCCGGCAGGCGGCACGAGGTCATCAAACAAGTGCCACCCGGGAGGCCGCAGCGTCACGTGTCCCTGCAGGGCAGCGTCACATGACCCTGCAGGGCAGCGTCACGTGACCCTGCAGGGCAGCGTCACGTGACCTTGCAGGGCAGCGTCACATGACCCTGCAGGGCAGCGTCACGTGACCCTGCAGGGCAGCGTCACGTGACCTTGCAGGGCAGCGTCACGTGACCCTGCAGGGCAGCGTCACGTGTCCCGGCAGGGCAGCAGTGACGTCTCCACATCAACTTGCCACTCATTCCAACATGCAGATCGTTTGGTGAGTTCCCTGAAAAGGTTAATTATTTTTGTTTTACATTAATTACTATTCAATCGCTTCAATATGTATGTTCTTTATCATTTTTTTGTATTGTGAAAAGTGATATAGGTTTATTATATTTTAGGTTCGGAGTAGAGTTGGAGTGAGTCTGAAACACATCCCGAATTGTGTTGAATAAAATTAATGAGAAAAGCCATTCCGATTTACGAAATTTCGTTTAATGCGCGTTTTTAAAAAAAACACATCCCTTTGGTAAATCGAGGGATACGTGTACTCTAAAGCCCTAATGTCTTCAAATAAATACTGTAAAGCTGTTCTAATGATGTTTTAATACGCTTCACATTAACTGTTTGAAGCTCTTCTTTATACACCAATCCCATTCATTAAGGTTACGCGTAACATCGCGGTGTTCCAATAGCTCTTTAGATGGAATGCCACAACTCGTCAAGAGCATCGAATTAAACCGTCCACAATGCGTTCTGTCGAATGCACGTATTTGTTTAATTCACGCAGACGCTGATTGCATTCTCTGTTTTTCTCTGTGCATGAATCAAGCTGCCACACCACGGATCGACATCACCCGTGTATGGATCTGCTTGAGAATAAATGGAACGCCACACGCTGTCTCCCTGCTCTGGGAAGATGAAAAGCCTCTTTCCAAAGCAATTCTTCGGGGAGCGTACAACGAAGTTTACCTCATTACGGCCACCACTCTCACGAAAATAAAGCAATCGCTAAACAAAGCCCAACTATTCATTTGGCAATTTGTCATGGCTGTCAGACAAATAATTCATTTTTCAAATTTACATTCCTCATTGCTTGACTCCCATGCACAACCTTTGATTCCACTTGTGCTTGGTAAAATGTTAACTTTATTCTACGAATTTCAACGTAACCATTAAAACGAATCAACACCAGCACCTACTACAAATGTACAACAGAGATAATATCAACAATGGTGGTGTCTCTGATAGGCAAATCGAGCCAAGTTCACCGATGCACCACAGATGTCTGGGAGATCGAACTTCACCGGCCACCCTCTGCATTTCCAGTCCAGTGGCCACACCGTTACAGTGTGCACCTCGGTATTAGGAAGCCACTGGAGCGATGCAATATTAAATCTAGATTGAGCACTCATTCCTTGATAATTGCATTTTGTGTTTAGTTTGTTGTCCTTCCCTCGCACTTGTGATAAGCGCGGTTGGTTATGTACGGTGCGAAAGAAGTTTAAAATACATATACGTGGTTAATTCCAGGCTACGTGCACAAGCGCCGTGGTGCACGTGGTTCATTCTGCAGTCTCACACACACACGTGCGAGGAGGGCTCACAGGGTCAGCATCGCGAGTAGCTGGCGAGGACATGGCAGATCGTGCTATCCTCACCTTGCTCCCCACCTCGCCCAGGACGTTCTCCAGCGAGGCTCCCTTGCTCTTGTCCCTGTGGCTGGGAATGGTCACGTTCCCTCCTCCTGTGGGGCGCACGGTCGGTCAGTGCTGTACTTTCACAAGTGTGCACGTGCGCAGTTGCACAGGTGTGCAAGTGTACAGCCAGGCCTCACGGGTACCAAGCTGGCTGTCGCAGGTGCACAGGTCACGTGACACAGCTGTTTTTGATCTGATTTCTGTCCGCTTCATTTTGGTGACCCAGGTTCCGCTTTGCAATGGAGCGTCTCCCCTGGTATCGTGACTTCTCACTTGCTTCGACAAAACGAGCTCGAGGTGTGAGCCGTGAGCACTCCCTCCCCCACGCACCTGGCTTGTGGTGGATGTTGTGCTTGGAGCCACACTTCGCCGTCACGTGGCTCAGATCGATCTTCTTGGTCACGATCTGCACCTGCTCGGAGTGGTGGGGACGTGGTTGAAAGTGGGAATTTAAGGGTGCGTGCCTTCTGCAGTTGGTGTTGGTTATCGTGATGGCGCATGTATTTATGTGTGCATAAGGAAGGACTACAAACTAAACACAAAAAGCAGTTCTAAAGAAATGAGTTTTCAATGTAGATGATTTAAAAGCTCAGAGCTCCAGTGGCTTGCTAATATCGGAAGGAAGAGCATTCCAGACGGCCGCAGAAGCGTATCTGAAAGCGCCGCGCGATGCGGTGATCACCGCCTTTGTTTGATGGCTTAGCCAAAAGCAGCTGCTGCTGCGAGAATGACCGGCGTTTGTGTGATGGTTTACTCTCCTTAACGAAGTGAACATGCAATACCATTTCAATATTGTATAGTATCCACATCAAGACTTTTCACAAAAATTAGAAGGTAATACAGGTTATAAGCATATTAACAATACGTCCATATAGAATATCAGCTGGAAAAAAAATACTGGTAATGAATTTGACGTTGCTATTAGATAATTTATAATATTACAAATCAAAGGTAAACTAGCCACAATTAAATTGCCATAATATGAGGCACAGCACATTGTTATTTTTTGTTCATCCCGTTTGTTGTTGTGAATAATCCATATCCATTGGACACTACAGTGGAACAAAGCAATGCCAGAGATGACTCACTCACACATGACGTGGCCAGTCTCCCTCGGCCAGGACGGGAGGCGGGATACATTTGGGCAGATGACGTCGGTAGAATTGCAAAAAAAGATATAATTATAGGTTCATGCACAGCTCCAGTTCTGGGTATAGCTGTACTCCATGCCATTTCCCCGGGTCGACAAGGATGCACGTGCTCATGAGGCCGTGACTGGGATGTGATAACGCAACGTAAGCGGAGCAGCAGCGCAAACATCGGCCAGGGCAGCTGCCTGTCTTGCATTAAATTTACAAAAAAAGTATGCTCAAGCGAAGCCAAGTTTGAAGACAATACATAGATAGCGTTGTTACTAGGGCGCTGACATCACACTGCCTATCATATGTGTTGTACGAAACTGAAAAAAAAACACAGCCCGAGGTCTGTGTTGTTATGATTTTTAAATTGAATGCTTCGTCAGAAAAAAAACATATTCCAAGTTGGAGGAACCATGATAGGGGATCAACAGGAATGATGGCACATCTGTATACCAATACACCACTCTTTTGTTCTACAGCATTGTGGGAAATGCCATGGGCTCAGGTGAAGCGACGCAAGATCACAGCAGCAAGGAAGCCAGAGACGTGAGCGCCAGTATACTCACGCGCCCTCCTCCTGGCACGTGTTTGATGTTGGCCATGGAGCCACACTTGGACTGCACGTGACTGAAGTCCAGCTTCTTGCTGAAGACCTACACACGTTGCACGGCACGAGGCGACACCGCACGTCAGGCTTCGTGGAGGCTCTTCTGATGCTGCGCCGGCCACTGTGGTGCAGTGCTTGGTGCAGCGTCCAATTACGAGTTGTGGGAGAAGAGTGATTTGTGATGAATGTAATTCAAGAGAATACTGGCATGACTATGCATGTAGAGTCCTCGCTTGTATCACAACCAACAAAGGCATGTGACGTTCAATAATGAAGATATGTAATCAGACGAAGAATGAGACTGACAATGTATGAAAATCATGGCGTGTATTCGCATGTAAACTATGGAAGCGATCCGTTGTGGCGTCATGTTTAAGCACGGTTCTGATGCTAACAGGCAAAGAGGATGGAAAACAACACAACAACAATAATAATTTTATTTCGATTTAAAGCTTTCGTGACTGCAGGGATTCATCTTCTTGGTTCTTTCGGGGCCTGAATGATTATTATTGTTAAAACATAATAAAATACACAGCACTGGAGTGGAGAGGGATTAATCTTCTTGGTTCTTTCGGTAAATTCACGTAGAAGGGAAATAATAAAATAATAAAAAATACTTAATTATAAAACAATTATTATTTCCCTTCTACGTGACTTTACTGAAAGAACCAAGAATATCATACAGTTATTAAAAATTATCACTTTTATTTAGTAAATGCTACGTGAAATAATCTTTCCTGAAATCAGATTGACCGAAAAAAGTATCCCGTGATGCCTTGTAAATCGAGCCCGTTACATATTTTACCTAAATGCGAAATTACCTTTCAGATTGGTTGTAAATCCATTACAGTCACAGAAACTGACGAATGAAAATCATGGCCACGATGTTTCTAAAGTGCCAATAAAGAAATCCCTCACTTCCTTTGAGCAGAATGGAAGAATACAATTAGAATACAATGGGAACCAGATGAATTGAGAATATTCAGAGAAGTGAACCACTTGACATCGTGGAAGAAAACATGGAATAGGAAAAGCGTCTTGGATGATGCACGGTTGCAAAGTTGCCAACAACGAGGTAACAATGAAACGGAACCGTTTGAGATAAAAACCAATTAATTAATCACAATTAAACATGGCAGTCCACAGCAGTTAATTGCATACGTTTGTGTCATGGTTCTATTTGATGTCACAAAACTATCGATTCTCAACCACACAGCAGATTAACTGCAATACATAAAATTAACGTCTCATCATTTGAATCTCGAATGAGAGGGGTTAGGCCTGTAAGAAGAGGCTGTAATTGAGCGTCAGTGCAGCCAGGCTCACAGTGCCATGCCGTTGTGGGCGAAGGTCAGGGAGGGAGGGGGGAGCCCTGTGCACGGTCACCGGCCGACATTCTCGCGATTTTACCCTCCGGCCGTGGATACGTTTCCAAGTTGCAAGGAGGCCACAACTGTGCAGCTGTTAAGGTACAAGAACAGCTGACACCTAAACCTTGCAAACGCGACATCCTCCGTGTCAACTCGCTGGGCGCCCGCCCGTCGGCGCGAGTCGCGGGGATCAATCGCACGTCACGGCGACCCCAGAACGCGTCAACGCTGATTATTGCCATCCAGACGTTCATTCGTGAAGCTTAAAACTGTTATCTGGTAACATAGGAGACACGTGCTACGCGCTTCTATATGCAATTATGCCCAATCAGTTTTTTTTGTTCTATGAAATTTAAATCTATATTTTAAAAAGGGCATATATTAAATACATTAAGAGCATCAGTGAATTTAAGCTTTTCTGGTAAATATCAAAACACATCCGTTGAGGGAGCAGTGCTGTTTGGGACTTATTGTAGTTTGGCTCGGGTAGCCTCCAAGGTAGGACTCTCGAACCAATTATGATCACGCATCTAAAATATGAAGTTTGACAGCAACAATTTATTTGTTTGGCCCTTGGGCTGCTGTGTCAACAATCTCAATTTCCCAAGGCATATTAAGGAAGCTACTGCAGTGTACGTGAAGGACCTGTCAGCAGATCAAGTTTAAATCTTTCCGACAAAATCTGTTGCACTACCAATAGATTTCAGCATTCACACAACAGAAAAGAAAATCGTCTCGGTTGGGGCATCCACTCTTCGCCAGCATCGTCAGTAATTGGCACATTTCCCTCAATAAACCTTTATACCTGCGTCCTTCACTCATTTTCGGAGGGAGGTGGGGCACTTCGCCGATAAGACATCATCAGCGTGAGGGCCGCCACACCATTTGAAATCATTTGGGGGGGGAGGTGACAGAAGCACGATGATGATGACGAGGGGGGAGAGATGTCGTCACGTGGTGTTGTGTCTTGTCGGGGTACCGCAGGTCAGGGGGTCGCACTAAAGGCCCCCAGGGGCCCCCAGGGGCCCCCAGTGGCCCCAGGGGCCCCCAGTGGCCCCAGGGGGCCCCCAGGGGCCCCCAGGGGCCCCCAGTGGCCCCCGGGCCTTGCGATGAAGAGCGCTGCTTAATACCAACTCAGGGATAGTGCTGTGTAATGGGAATCGGTGGCTTGGCTTATAGTGCCGTGGTTCTTTCAAGTTGATGAAACTTTCGGCCTGCTGGGCCGCGAGGAGGCAGGAGCCACCATTTGAGGATGATCCCCTCATTCGTGTCGTTTTGTCCAGGTGCTCCAGTTTTGGAAAGACATTACTGGAGTTGTTCAATCGTTCCAATGTAGGACCCTCCTGAAAAAAAACAAAGTCTTGAGAGGGAGAGGCTTTCCTGGGTAGGCAAAGGGCACGGTATTATTATTATCTGGTTTTGTTTTTTTTTTCCATTTATCTCTTGTAAGGTTGCCAGGTGGAGCCACTTAATCTCATGATGAAATCGAGGCAGAAAGCCAAACACTGATTAAGAGTGGAATGTTTATGAGCAGCTTGTAAAATTAAATCGATTTATCTCTTTGCAGCTTTGCTGATATAGTTCGTTACTCCGTGATGAGTCAGAACAATTCACCATGCACGACAAGTACAAGGTCATGTGGTCATTACAGCCATGGCCGCCGATGTCACCACACCATGCCATCACTTCCTTCCTTCTGCCAGATCTCATACATGTTGTATTTGAGTACGAAGGATACCAGAAAATGTATTATTTCTTTAAATCGATATATGTTGCCCGTAATGGCTTCCATTACCTCTGCAACCACGAGTGGCCGCTACGTTCACCTCAATGTAAAAAAAGTGATTTTTTTGTATTCAAATTCATCGATACATTACGGCATGGATTGTCATCCCCCGCACTGTGATATACAAGTGAAGCACATACATTCATCACGAGAGTAGACATACGACAAGCCCCAATCTAGACTACCTCATTAAAAGTTGCACCCGTCACATATTATAGTATTATCAATGTTTGTTTTGCACTTGGGATATGCAGTCCAGTTCACACATGATCGCAGTGTCAGCTGGAGTGGGCGGGCGGTGGCTCTGACGGGTGAAGCTGCACCCGTGAACGCCACAAGTGAACTGCACAGCGAAGCTGCACCTGTGAGCTGCACAGGTGAACTGCACATTGCACATGGGGAGCTGCACTGGTGAAGCTGCACCTGCTCTGCCTCTGTCAAGCAACGGGCCTCGCTCACAGCGTGTGCTCGCACGCACGCAGAGCGACGGCGCCGTCACATTGCGAGCCCTGGATAGAGCGCCTCGATTCGGACCCACCCCAATTGAGACGTGCAGGTCACGCGCAGTGGAGTGACGTCTGGGTACTTCCACCAACTTTGGCCAGAAGGTGGCAAGAGAAAGCAGCAGGGGCTGCACATTTCGCAATGTTGCCTCTGCCGCTCCATGCGCATCGTGCGTGGCACTCGCGTCGTGTGCCCGGGCACCGTGGAGGATCGCGATACTCGAGGATCGTGCAGCGCCCACATCCCCAAGTGACCCCCCCCCGCCGATGCCACAGCGACAACAACAATCCACTTTGGGCAAACGGCGAAGGGGCCAGAGGGAGAGATGATCATGGAGAGTCGGAGAGAACGTGCGTGTGGAAGAAAGCGGAGAGTTGGATGAATTAGATGGAAAAAAAACCCCGTGCTATGCCCAGGCTTCACACTGTGAGGCATTTGACATGCTGCCCGCATCAGCCGAGAGCAGCCTGTTCGTATGCCGGCGATGTCTGAAAGCAATGCGACTCTTTTGTTGCTGAGCCTATTTAAGGAGGTGTTTCATAAGCCAGGGGAGGGGGGTTGCTGCGCCCCGCCAAGCGATTTCAGTCAAGGAGGAAAATGAATACTGTAGAGATGATTACGGACCATTGTTGGGTTTGTGTCATTCCACATCAGACCTAAATTCAAACCAGGCTTAGAGGAGCCCCAATATTGAAGCAACAATGATTGTAACTGTTTGTAAAGGTGCGGGGGCTGCCCTGTAATTTCTTGTGCATGCCACTGCTGGCGGACAGGCCTCCACCAGAGGGGTTTTGGCCTACTCTTCCATGCTCGCCTTGAATCTTGAAAGAGGTTGGAGGAGTCACACTCTGCCGCCGTGGTGAAGCCATTAGCACCGCTGGGTGGACAGAGGCGGGCGGGGGGGGGGGGCATTTAATAAACTTGCCCCATTTTTTTTTCAACTGCCGCACCGAATCATGGAAGCGATGGCCTCTGGATTGCAAGTCCGGTGTGCTCGCCATCACAGCACGGCAGCGTTCCTGAATTGCTCGTGCGCAATCACCAAACTGATTTCCCGCTCAAACGAGCATCGGGGCAGTGCTTATCACCGGTTAATAGCCCCGAGCCAGCGGTGGAAATTGCACAGTCGTATGGTGGAGGTGAGTATATCCACAGGACACCCACTGGTGACTGAACCACAAAAAAATGGTATTGATTTTATCGACCCCTGAGACATGATGGGCTGAGTCAACCCCCAGTCAGGATATGAAGTGGCAACCTATCGATTACAAATTTGGATAGTATTTCAGCACTTGCTCGTGGGATAGCGCTCTTTCTCATCACTGGTGACGATTATCTAAATCGGTCCTGGGCCTCCCCAAGGTCGACTCAGTCTCAAATGAGTACCTGGTGTGATTTGTAAACATCGCCACTGGGGAGACAAAGGCGGCCGGGCGTGGTGCTGGCCACACACCCCCTCGTGTGCTGTGCCGGCCTTCATAGGTGCTCGCTAACAGCACTTGCCCCAACAGTCTGTTCAGACTTCACGGGGGATCTTTGTTTTTTTGTCTCGCCAGCCCAGTGCAGTGCTGCTGAGCGCATGGCTCACTAATTGGCTCACCATGGCAACGCTGCCCGTGCTGCTGCTGCTGCTGCCTCTCGACTCGTCTTTGAATGCAGTCATTGGCCAACAGTGGCGTCACCAGAGACATTGGCGATTAAAGATTTTCTTTTAAATAAAAAAAATATCCCCCCCCCCCCCCCCTTTTGACGTTTATGATTATCGAGTGCTGAGATATATGGCGGGGAGAAGATATTGATTGGAGCAGCCCCGGCTGGGCGTCGTGCCAGGCCGGGCCAGTGACGGATTGGGGCCCCTGCCTCTCTCAGAGTGTTGCTCGCAATCACTCTTGAGGGAAATTCAAAACGAGATCTTTTCAAAGACCAAACATGTAATAAATGTACGGCTTCCTGTGCCAATAAAGCGGAGTCATTAGACATGCAGAATCTCACCTCGGTGGCCTTGCTTAATGGCAAGAGCCGTTGCCCATTGATTATATAGAACGCGTGTTAGCTCAAGTCACACACTACTGCATGGATAATTTAATGGGAAATAGGTCAACCCAATTTGCGATCACACAGCATACTGAGGGTTGATGGGGATGCTTGGGGGCTGGGGGATGCTTAACGCAGCACGGTGCCTTCGCAGCAAGAAGCATCTGCGTTCAATTCCCGACTCGGGTGCCTTTCTGCGTGGGTATGCTCCCTGGGGTTCCACGCTTTTTCCCCAGAGCTCACAAAACACACCGTAACAGGTGGTGGCCAAACATCCCAATGCTGGAAGAATACCTGCAAATGACAGCAACATCGCCCCATACTTGGCGGAATCCTCCTGAAATAACGGTCTTGAGACCCAGACTTTCCTTGGCGAACAAGCGTGACGATATACTAACAACAATGCTCTGGCTGTGTCCTCCGACCCGCAGAGTGCCCGGCGAGCTTGTCGCAGGACATCAACGAGCGCCTTGTCCCTGCTGCTTTGAGCGTTGCTTTGGCTTGGAACGACAGCCACCCGCGGCCGTCGCTTCTCGCTCGGTGCAAGAACCACGCTCGCTGTCGTCGCGCCGTGCCACCGTCGTCGCTTTCGGAACTCTTCCCGACCCGTCGACTCTTTTGCTAAGTCCCGACGGACGTGCTCAGTTCTGGAGACGGCGTTGGTGTTACGCCGTGAGGGGTTGCCGGACCCTTTGCGTTACAGGCCTGTGCTCGACAAATGCAGGATACGTATGAACTAAACCAGAAACTAAACAATTTAATTTTAGCAGGTAAGGCCCACTGAGCTATGTAGCTCTTTTTCAGAAGCGACCTGGCCACAAATGTTCGCACAACGAAGTGGTTTATTGCGTGGAAATGTATCGCGGCCAAATACTCCAAACGCACGTTGATTCTAAATGTGGAGGAAAAAAATGGAGGACCCAGAGAAAAATCCACGCGACCACGGGGAGAGAGAGAGACGCAAACTCCAATTATACAGCAGCAGGCACCAAGGTCCGAATCAAACCCACGCTGTGCACCGATCGAGGCGGATCAACGCTCTCGGCAGCCCTGATGGAGCAACCTCCGGGCGGGGCACACCGAGCGGTCCTCCTCACCTTGCTCGCCCCGGCGGACATCTTGAGGTTGTCGCTGGAGCCCACTTTGGAGCGCAGGGCCTTGAGGTTGGAGGGGGCCACGAGGCCCGTGGGGGAGCGCGGCGAGCGGGGCCCCTTCTTCCTCTCCCCGGGGGTGGTGCTGCCTCCGCGCTGGGCATGCGGAGTGGGGGGCGTCGGGGGGCCCGTGCCGGGCGTCGTGCAGCCGCTCTTCTTGCCCCCTCCGGGCTTGCCCTGGGAGCCGTCTAGGGGGCGGCAGCAGCAGCAACGTTGTCGGAGGAGGAAATTAATAATAATACGAATCAAATGGGCGCCCACCCGACGTCCTTCCGAAGGCAGGAAACCCCCACAAGCCACGCCCAGCGCGACGCTGCTGATGATGCCGACGACATCACCAAGCCGCGCTCATAACCTCCCGTTCAGCGACATGTGTGAGAACAGAGGAGACACTTTTTCTTCCTCCAAACTATTTTCGTGTTATCCAATTCGTCGAGTAATGGAACTGATAATCGATAGAGTGGTCGATGACTTAAATATATAATCGGACATGTCCCAGCTCTATCTAAGTCTAGTTCTTGTTATCTACACCATGTGAGTATCACTCATTCAGGTTCCGAGTTTATAATGTATTTGTCGATCCGTTCAAGTGTTGCATATAGGTATATATATATTTTTTCACACACGACAGAGCGAAAACCCTTTCATTTATTTTTCTTTGGATGTGTTGTCCCGGGAACAGCTGAGCTCACAAAATGCCATTATCAAAGGCGTTCCAAGAGTCAAAAGGAGTCGGGCTATTTTATATTTCACAGAGGAGAGGGGACAACAATCGGACCTTTAAAGTGGAATTTAAATAAATACACCATCCCCTTGTGAAGGTCTACCACACTCAGGCTATTGAGTGTCATAACCACGTCCGCCCAGGGGAAGTCCCATTACTCAGATGCGGCGCGGAGCGCACAGATTTCACCCTGTGGTGGCCATCGATGTGTTCGCCAGCACTGTTGGAGACGGGGGTCGGTGGATTTCACGCAAGATTTCACTATCTCCACACGTTCGTCAATAACACGTGTTATATATGAGGAAGCCAACATAGAAATTACGCAATGTTCCAGGCGATGTCCCTTATTCATAGCAGGGCGATGCTCCTCCTGCTATCACAAGGGCCTGTCTGCTTATTGCAATGCTTGACAAAAACTTCACAAGCTGGAAAGCGCCGATTGGTTGCACTCACTCGCAACCTCTACAGTCGCTAAATGTAAGAGCGCTTTCCTTCCGATGAGCGGGCGGTGTGCCTCTCTTCTCTCCTCCTCCTCCAGCACACTGGGACACGTGCTCTCTTGAGATCAATTAACAAGCCACAAAGTGGCTCTGGGATCGCACAGAAACCTTCAAGATTGCTTGCAAATCTCTCACTGTTGCTGAGGCTGAATTGATGTTATTACAATCGGGCAAAATCCACTTCACCACGGGTGGCTGTGGCGCACAGGCAGAAAATAACAAGAAACCCAACTCAGTCAGCATCGTCCTCGTCGTCTGTCTGCTATGAAGAATGGCTGTTGCTAAGATTTATTTCTATTATTTCTATTATTTATATTTATTATTTATTTTTTACCTACGTGACTTTACCGAAAAGACCTAAGAGTATAAGATACCGGAAACTATTTACAATGTATGTCCTGTACGTTGAACTTCGTTCGCGCCGTACGTAGCCGACCGTGCTAATCGTAGGTGCGGAAATTACAATCCTGTATATTCGAAATTATTTAGCAAAATAGTGCAGCTTTTCTTACACGTAAACAATGTGTTGGAAACAAAATTAAGGGGATAACTACTTATCATTAATTTTGTTTGTATTCATGAAAGTCAGGTGATAGTGAACGCACACTAAGGGAATTATGCCGCCGTGGAGACTGAAGGGCCCATTTCTGCACAAGGCAGCAACCGCTGCTGCACGATCGTGAGCATGACAAGCAGGGGAGCGGTGGGCCATAACAAAACACAATCAGCCGGCTGTCTTTGTCTCCCCAGTGCTGATGATATCACATCAAGCCAGTCACCCCTTGTAGGCTGAGTCAACCTCAGGAAGGCCAAGCCAATTTAATATACCACTTGCTGCGTTTTTAGGCTCACAGTGCAATGCACTATTGCTAATGCACACACACACACACCGCAGGCAAAGTAATTTATAACACGAGGCTTCTTTAGACGGCTCTACAATAATCTGCACCGTGGACATTATTATTTGGTTTCAATGCCCTGGCGCGGTTGATGGCTTTCCGACCCCACCGGGAACGGCACTGACGTGCGCCCAAGTTGCCTCGCGACGGAATTATTTGGTCGGCCGGGCCCGTGGGACCCGAGTTAACATTTGGCAGCAAACATTTTTGTAAAGTTACAAAACGTGCCGGGACAGTTTCCCGCAGAAGTTTGCGCAGGGCGAGGCCATGGCGGCCACTGGCAAGGACGCTAACGCGCTCGCGGCCTCGGGCGACAGGCACCGGACGCGCCGTGGACTGGGCAGCACGGGGACGCCAACCAACCTTGCGTTGACCTCGCAGTTAACATTTTACAACATCAAAGTCGAAGGATCTCTGTGCTCAAATAGGTATTTGATGCATGTATGTTGAATCTCTTCCGCCTCGGACGTAGCCAACCGTGCTAATCGGAGAGGAAAAACAAAAAAGCGTGTCGTGTCACTGAGTCAAGACTGCTTTCACTAGGGTCCTGCCAAACGTTCGCAGCATGCTGCGATGTTGCTGCGTTTATTCCCAATTGAGTCATTTCCAAAAACTACCACAAATAACTCAGTTGCGAATGTATAGCAGCGGTCACCCAGTGCTGTGAAAACTTAGTAGGACCCTGCTGAAAAAGGAGACCTCAGACTCAGTGAGGCACTCCTGGCCAAACAAGCATCATAATAATAATGACATAAATTGTGTACGGTGTTTCTCTGTGATGGCTGCCCTGAACCAGTGCTGGAAAATGTTTCATTCTCAGCGCTGGGGCCAAGGAGTCACGGCAGGGTCAACATCGACTCCCCACAAATTCAAATCAAACCATGAGTACATTTGGTATTTTTCTCCGTTTTTTTTATAGAGCAAGGCTACAGTGAAGGAAGGTTCTTTGTTTCAGACGACGAGTATCGTCTGCAGGAGATTCACAGCAGGGAACGATTTTGCTTCTGTTGCTATGACAAATTTGGTTATTTGCGAGTAATTATCGAGTTAATGAAATTTGGATCATGACGCACGTGGCCCCACTATGTTTTGTTGTCCCAACAATCCCACCGGGATCCTTGAACACCCCCTGTGGAGTAGACGGAGCACAGCCACAGTCAACGCAGCCGCAGGATTAAACAGGGTGGCCGTCGGACTTCAAACCGCGAGCACGCTAAATCTTAACGCATCGACTCCTGCAGGACGATGGGCTTGGGCTGACCCCGGTACAGGGTTTGAACTCACGACCATAGTGCCACTTGGCCAGATAAATACTGTATTTGGCAACAAATAAGAAAAATCAGCAAAATATTCACTTGTCGATAAAAAAGCAATGGAGCAAGCGGAAACGTTCCGTTTGCAAATGTATGAAATGTTATTAATTGCTACTACTGGTGCACATGTATAGGTCAATTGATGTATCTAGGATGTCATAAATATGCATGGTGAGTTCGGGCGGAATTTTCCCATGGGTGTCCAGAAGTCAGTGCGAAAATTAGGACTGCAGTTGTGAAACGTAGAAGAAAAGTTTTTTCTTTTTTAAACTACAAACACAATAACATTTTCACAGTTTCTCCCCCCACGGGAAAAACGAGCTCCCCCAATGGCAATGCAGAATTTCTCGCGATGGCGCAGGGATTGTCGACAGAGCTGTGTGCTGCTCCAACGCTCGTTGGATGGACAAAGAATGCATTTAGGTGCCCCGATTCACGGAGAAGTTAGTTTACAGCGATTTGAATAATTTCCACTACGAGCTATGAATGCAGTCAAAGCGCTTGTAGCGGTCTTTGGCCCACTTGGGTAGAGCCTCATTCCGCTAAACCCCTCATGGACAGTGTCGACTTGGTGACTCTGATGCCACAGAACCGGTTCACACGTCGCTTGCCACTGATGTTAGCCGTGGTCAGGAATTGAACTCAGTTCGCCAGGTTAATAATAGCGCAGCATGCTAACAGCTGTGCCACAGCTCCACCACAAATAATTCATGAATGAGTACCGGATTCTTATTTTAAAACAATGTAAAAAAATCGATTGTAATTAAGTCAACAATATTTTTTTACTTGTAAACAACATAATGGCAGTGAAGCCGTGGGGCAGTGGTTAGCGCACTCCACTATGAACCCGGTGATCTGAGTTTGAGTCCCAGCTACGGCTTTCATCATTTGTGATTGATATCTGAAGCGGTCATGGTCCCCAACGTCATCAACCCTACTTCACCAGCGTGGTGAAGTAGGGTCCAAACCACTCCCATGGCCAAAAAACAAAGGGAGGCCTTCATCCATGAGTAGAGTAACAAACGGCTGGAATTTACATCCACAAATGAATGAAGGTACATCAATAATACAAGCACACGTAGTAGTGTTTTTTTTTAAGAACATTTTTTTCGTAAATTCAATGCATTAAAAATGTCCCTGGAAAGATATGCGGATCCGGGTGGCTTTTGCTTGGGTGTCGTCTACATCCAGGCCTTGGCTGGAAACTCCTCAGGCAATCCTTCAGTGAAGGCTCCATTAGGTCTTGCACAGGCCCAATGACCACAGAGACCCTCAAATGAAGATCTAATGGTGCACATTAGCACCAAAACGATCCCTCCGCATCTTGGGCTGTGCCCTGGAGCTCTGAGAATGCAAATAGGCCAATGAATATACAATAGAATGGAGCTGAATCAATCCTAATGCAATATCCCAACGCATTTGGTGCAGGGAAGAGGTAAAGGTATGTACGCACGTATGTATGTTGCACGGTACGCAGCCAACTGCGATAATGGGAGGTGTGTGGAAGGACAGCAACAACAAAGGTGCAGGGGCTGCGAGGCGTGCTGGGCGCGCTTACTGGTGGGACGCGACGGAGCGCTCGCCGCCACCGTGGACAGCCGCGGCGCGCTCACGGACGTGGGGATGGACGCCCTGAAGGGCCGCGGTGAGGAATAGGAGGAGGCCGCGCCGGCCCTCGCCGTCTGGGTCCTGGTGCCGCCGCCGCCGCTCGGCGACGCGGTCTTGGCAGCGGCGGAGGGCCTGGCAGGCCTGGTCGGCCTGCTCGCCGTCGTCGCCGTCGTCGCCGTCGTCGCCGTCGTCGCCGTCGTGGTCTTGGCAGGGGACACGGACGATGTCACCGAGCGCGCCTTGGGTTTGGGAGCTGCGGTCCTGGCGGCCTCTGTCGCCTGGGGCGGTGGGACGCACTCGTTAGCGGACCCCCTCGTTAGCGGACCAAATAGGTAGTGTACCCCATAGTTAGTGGACCCCCTCGTTAGTGGACCCACTAGTTAGTGGACCCCCTCGTTAGCGGACCCACTAGTTAGTGGACCCCCTCGTTAGCGGACCGCATAGTTAGTAGACCCACTAGTTAGTGCGATCGCCCCTCCCTGGTGCCACCCGCAGCGTCCCACGCGTCTCACGCGTCTCACGTGTCCCACGCATCGCACGCGACGCTGCCATCGCCGTGCTGTAGTGGAGACGTCACAAGGCGGAATAAGGAATCGTCAATGTTTGTTGCTTTGGTGTATTGCCCAGACAGTGTCGTCACGCATAGAGAGACGGACAGACAATTGTCCCCAATAGCACCGCCATGCTCTTTTACTGTTCGTAAATCATCATAGAAAATAATTTTGAAATATTAACTGCTCAAAAGCGTTATTGCTGAGGACAAACAAATGGCCACGAATGGTTTATGGAAAAAAACATCACGCATGAAAATGCCAAATAAACCATGAATTCCAAAATAATGACGTGAAAAGCAAACAGCGTTACTCATTTCCATAAGCAGAGATGCTGAATATGCTCGCGATAACGGTCTCAGTGACTGCTAAATCTGAGCTGCAGTGGAACTGCGGAGCTCACAAGAGTTTATTTTGCGTTGGGTAATCGAGCATTGTTGTGGCGTGCAGACGTGTGGGCTAATGAACACACGCACACATCGCTCTCTGTAGCGCAGCATTGTCTCGGGACTGGGAGACAGTTTCATTTGACAAGAGTGTACCCAGTAAATTGTCGTTTCCACAGCACCCACGAAGGATATACATTATAACAGTCCCTTTTAAAGCAAAATTTATCATAAACACACGGACAAAATATTTCCGCCGATATAATTGTTTGCAATAATGATCATAATTATCATGATCATTATTTATGTTTTAAATAGCGCCCTTCATGCTGGGGCATCTCGGAGCAGTATCGCCTCGCCTGTCATCTCAATGCAAGGTGAAGGTACAGCAGCCACCTGTCTCTGCCACGCCTGGGCCTGGCAGAAGAGCCTCTGGTACAGGGAGCTGGACAGATGTGTAGGACGAGGTGGAAGTACCCACGCTTCACCCCGCCACGCGTGACCCTGCAGACTACAGCTATCTGTGGTGAACCCGTTTACACTGCGGATTGACGGAGGTGAGGGGAGATGCATAAAACTGGCCCGACATGGCTCACTGCCATGACAACCACGACAGAAAGCAAAATCATTACCACAACACAAAACGACTGACGTCATTTCCAACAAAATGACTGCCATCGTCGTTACGTTGAGTGCATTCCTGAGGTCTAATTGCATGGAAATGGCCGTACGTGGACAGCTGTGCTCCACTTTGCCCAATCATCCAGGTGCCCATCAGTGCAAATCTGCAACCTCCATCAGTGTGAAAAACATCGTAGTGTATTGACTAAATACCACTCTGCGAGCGGTCGTTTATGGAACAAAACCACGGGAGAATTATTAGCAGTGCTGAGGGCTTATTTTGTGAAAAAGAAGCACCTTTTTGGCGACATTTTTCAAGGACAGAAGCAATATTTCTAGAAATGTACTGTACCAATGAAATGTCAGTGGCAATTCATTGAATTAATGACTTAAGCTGAAGTGAAAGTGCTGATGAAAATATAATTCCATGCAGTACAAAATAAAAAAAACAAGAATATTAATATGGTCGAGGTCATGGTATTAGCAGACAACAATTCCACCTACAAATATATTCCACCCAGGAACTTTTATCCACCTCCAGTTCACTGGATGAACGTGGCAATTTGCATGTCTCTCCCCAGGTGACATGGACTGAACTGAAGTCCACACTACAGGTGCCGGCCAGTTATGACAAGCCTGGATTTGTGGCGTCTGACCAAATGCAAAGCCTATCAATGGAGGCCTTCATTGGCATTATAATAAAGCTGCATGCGCGTATTGGGAGGTAAACGTATCTCTGTAGAAAGGACACTTCATTTTCGTCAGTTTGACAGGTCTGAAGGGTTGTGAAAACTCGGCAAGCTTCATTAGTGATTTTTTTAAAATCAGTAACACTGCCGTGTCACTTGAGTGCATCGACAATGTCTGTGATGACTTCAATAAAAAGTAGTTGGTGATGTGTAATACAATTATCCGTAACCAATAATTCAATTTGTGACATCGTTAATCAAATCATTGATATAACATGTTATTTGTGCTGTTGGCACTGTGAATCGATATGAATTACGGAAGCACGACAGATTTCCACGTGCGGCCCGATTACTGGCCCACGTCACTGCTGGTGGAACAGCCTCCTCGAGGGAGCTTTAGAGATGGGCCTTCTCTGTCTTTCTTTCCCACTTGCCAAACCCCACACTTTACCCCACCACACACGACCTGTTGATCGACTGTGTGGTACCCATTTATACCATCCAGAGGATTTCAAGGTTGCCAAATCGAAACACGCCATCGTGTTTTTCAATGACTAATATTTTTCAGGTAATTATGAAAACTTGGGACACTGCAAGGAATTACCCGTGATGCGCATAGCTGTGGCTCACCTGATGATTCGGAAGCGGAAATCTGATCCGATCATAACCTCAATGCAAGGTGAGTTACATTGGCTGCCGATGAAATATCGAGTTATTTACAATCCACGCATCCTTGCCTAAACGGGTGGGCACCATTCCGGTCAGTCCTGTCTCGCCGAGCAGCGCGCAGTGCCGGCTACAGTGGACGTCGATCAACGCCGGCTACCATGCACAGCCCGCGGTGACCCTGCTGCTGATGATGCTATACCCACGCACAAACCTTGCGCAGCGATACGGCCAGCGCAGTCTCACCGGGGGAGGGGGGGGGGGTCTCTGGCCCGAAGACCTGGACCTGGTTACCGGCGGCAGATGTTCGCGATCTAGCCTTGAGTCTGAGACAGTTTTGCATTGGACCTAAAGCAATGTTGTTCCAAAGAGCTCACTGTGTGCGATCATCGCGGCGCATTCGTGACGGATTGGATTCATAAAAGTGCACGATAAAAATAAAAAATTCAGACTTACAAAACAGCTGATTCTGGCTGCTTGTTAAGTGGGCTTTGACAGACAAGACTCCCTTTGTTGAAGGGTCTTGAAAGAGGGCTCATCAACCTGGCAACTATAATTGGAAAGCGTAGATATTTTGCTGCTGCGGGCTCCCGGAGACAGGTGAGTTCTGTCACATGCCATGCCTCTGCCTTCATGGCAAGGTCGCCGCCTGTTTTGGTTTCATCCAAACCGGTCTGGATCGTGGCCCTTGTGTCTAGGATGTAAGAATACAAACAGCCAATGTAATTTCCCAGGCTTTTTCCTTAAAGAGTTGTTTCTTTTCAACTCTGCATCTCTTTTATTTATGCCACTCAGCACGCAATGCTCTGCTCACGTGCGGGTCTTAAAAATATATATATAACGTGACAAGCTTAGCCTCAGGGCATGGACTGTTGATATGCTGGCTTCATGTCTGCCTCCTACCTGATCACCAAACCTGAGATGACCAAATTGCCTATGGCTGCAATAAAAAATCAGCTCATGCTTTGTTCGTTACAGGGCCATTATTAATGAGCTATGCCATCGTACGGGGTTATTTATCCTCTCGTGTCAGGGCGGGCGACGTTTCATCCACAGGCTCGTCCCACCCATTGAGTAAAACATTCATCCGATTGCTTCTGGGTTGGCTGACGTTCTTTGGCTCTAGGCACGATGCGTGTGCACCCCTGACCGGGATAAAATGACATCAATCAATGGCCACAGATCAAACTGCATGTGTATTGTTTGCTTGTGGCTTGCCTGTGCACTGGTTCAGAGGCTCCTGGGAAAGAAACAGCAGCAATAACGCCCATTCAAAGGAGCAACACATAGCATACATTCAGAAACTTCGTCTGCCGATTTTGCTTCAAGTGGCTCTTTATAAGTTCACATTATACGAGATGTAGCAGGGTAAGAGCGGTGGTGCGGTGGTCGTGCACTGCGCTACGATGACCCTGCCAACCTGAGTTAGACTCCCAGTAGGGGCTAACTATCAGCGGCGATCGATTTCTGAACCGGTCCTGCCAAAACCACCTCGCCAACCGGCGCTGGCGAGCGTGGTGAAGTACGGTCGAAATAACCTCGACGATCAGCAAAGTGCGGGGAGGCCTTCATCCAGCAGTGGATGGACAAGGGTCATTACGTGGATTTTTTTATTTTATGAAACAAGAATGAGCAGGAAGGAGAGAAACGGTTCAACATGGCCCAGAAGAGGAGCAGGTTGTGAAACATGAGCGCGTGCGATTGGCACGGCTGGTTACGTAGAGTGCGAAAGAAGTTCGACGTGCATACACCACGTACAAAGAAACCGACGCGATGTTTGAAATGATCAAAGAGAATGCCACAGCGGTTTAAAAGGCAACGTCGAGGTCAGGGAACCCCCGGAGAGGGAGTCATGGTCAGACCAAAGGAGATGGCTGGCAGCATGACGGACAGCGGAGAGACCATTGCTACAGCCAGAGCAACATCGGTTGCATCCATTGTGAATCTGCGAGCAGCACCGTCATGGAAGTTTCCTGTCGAACGTGGGGATTGACCATGAGGTGGAAACGTGAAAGGAGAGATAAGAGCGATCAACAAAAATGGAAGAAGAAGAGGGAATATAATCCTTAATCGTGTTCGCGATCCAAGTGAGGGAATTGAAGAAGTGGGATTTATATTCAACAGCGGATATATCGATCAGTTGAACTCAAGGCTATGGAATGATATGAAGACATTAAACATAACTATTACCATAAAGCCCTCTTCCACTAGATATTAATTCAGAAAGTGACTTGAACCAGATTTGAAAAACCTCCACCACTAAGCCCTCAAGTGAATGCGAATCTCGGCTCGCCCCGCCTTGCGCTGAAGGGAGATTCACGCAAACCTAATTAAGCGATGATCAATGACAATATTGGCTCCAACT